TATTTTAGCCATAACAAACAAAATATCATATCCAACCCATAATTATTACACTATTCTCTTACAAAAAAAGTCAAAAAGCCAAAAAGTCTTTTCCAAACCAAACTTTTTAGCCCAGGTTAAAAATAATCAAAAAAGCCAAAAAGTCAAAAAAGCCAACTCACTTCCAAAACGGAGGCTATATATATAACCAAATGTAGTTGTTAAGTCAAAAGACTCTAAAACTTGAATCCTAAATTCTCATAATTTGAAAAAAAAAATATTACGTGGCACTTCCCTTTATCTCCCTTCCCACTCTTCAAGCCTTTTCACTCATTCTCCTATATAAATATAAAATTAAAAAAATAATAAAATATTCATCCATATCCATCACCCATAATAATACTTATCCAAAATAATAAAATATTCATCTATATCCATCACTCACAATAATATCTATCTCACTCTCAATCTCAAAAAAAAAAAAAAAAAAAAACCGACAACTCTACAACTTCCATATACACATTTTTCTATTCAGTTTATTCCAGTCATCTTTTATTTTCTCATAATACTCATCTCTCCATTGTTACATTTTGCAAGTTTGATTATTTGCAAAAAATCATTCAAGGTCAGTATAATATTATTTTTTACTTTATATGCATTTTTTCAGTGTTTGTTACTTTGTATGCATATATATTTTTAAATATTTTAGTTCATCTGCATATCTTTTCATTTTCTCATTTTTATGCTCATAAATATTATTTCTTACTTTATATGTATTTTTCAATGTTTATTACTTTTTGTGTATAAATATATATTTCTTTTTTCCATTATTTTCAGTTTATTCTACATATCTTTTCATCTTCTTCATTATTACATTTCGCACGATTTGGCTTGCGTACTTTTTAGTTTGTAATTTGCTTTTGTTTTTCAATTTAATCAGATTCGAAACTCATCAAATCTTGAATTTAATTTAATTTACTTTATCTCATGTCTATCACACCATCACATGTTAATGGCTTTGTGTAAACTCTCGAAATCAAGAAGATCAGCTCTGCATAAAGTTAATCTTACTTTGCTCCTTCAAGCTCTCTCAAATGAGAGTTCTTTGGATCATCTACAACAATATGCACAACCACTAACCACTTACAAACACACACAACAGCTTCAAACTTAAACACAATTTCTTAATTTTAAAAATTTTTGAAAACAAAATTATATTTGGCTTAAAGTGATTGGTACATCTAACAATATTTAATTTTAAAATTTTAAAATCTTTAAATTTTATCTAAACATATCTAATTTAAAATTTTGAATTTTTTTTTTTATACAATATTAGAAAAAAAAAATGACTCAAATCTATTAGTGTATTATCTAAATTTTGAATTATTACACATGGCATAATATTACTGGATTAAACATTTAAATTTTAAAATTAATTAAAATATTTAACTATATGATTTTGTGATTCCAATACTTTTTTTCTGAATTTCCAAATTTTTTTTTAAAAATTTTTACAAAATTTAAGTTGCTAAGTGTTGATTTTTTATTGGCTATCCAGGATTTTATCCAAAATTATTGGTTAATGATTGACCACTATTAAATTCTTTTTGGCTATAATGATACCAATTGACTACCATCAATTTTAAATTTTTCTATCAATGTATTTAAAAAAAAAAAAATTTCATCAAGCATGAAATTTAAAAATTAAATATATTTTATTCTATTACAACTTTATAAAAAAGTAAATTTATTTTGCTACTATTCAAGAAAATATATACGCCTTTATTTCGATATAACAAAAATTAAATTATCTTCTACTCATACTAATCTCTCATAAATATCTTATCTTTTTAAAAATTTTGATTATCAACAACTGAATTCTCATATTTCTCCTCTTTTTTTTTCTTTTTTTTTTTAAGGATGTTTATTTTACTTTATCTTTTTCAAATTAGATTTGATATCTATCTTTTTACCTATATATTTATATCTATCTATACTATCTATCTATCTATTCTATCTATCTAAAAAGCAAATGCAGTGGAAACTCATACTATCAATTATTTAATCCTAATTTCTCAATAATTTTGAGAGATTAAAAAAATGAGGTGGCACTTCTTCCTCTCTCACCCTGTTTTTTCTAGCCAAAATAGAGGAGAGACAAAAATCCACATGAAATATATAAGAAAAAATATATATTTATCACTTTAGATAAATTAAAAATTTTAAAACTCTCTTATCACCTCTTTCCTTTATCTCAATTAAAGTAATCTCATTTCACATGACTTCCTCTCTCACATGTCTCTCTTCCCTCCTTATATATAGTTACATTTTTGTTTCAATCTCACACTGCTTCTTATAAAAAAATAAAAATATGACTATATCTCTCTCCCAAAAAACTTGCCCTTATTTGTCACCATCACCTCCATGGTCATTTCATAAGAAAGTTAGATTGGTACTGCCTAGATGGCCATTCCGTAAGAAAGTTAGAGATTGGTATATATGATACAACAGAGGTTGCCATTGCTTTATTTTTATTTATTTTTTAAGCCCCTTTCTAAGTTTTTGAGTTATATGTTTCACTTATTGTATAGACAAAACAATTGCTTTACATAGAATTTTTGTGTGTTTGTATTCCATATCAATAAAGCAATCTGTCATTTTTTTTTCTTTTTTTGTATATGTTTTTCTTTTTCTTATATTTGAGAAAATTTAGTATTTTACAAGTTACAATAGTGCTGAAGTTCAAACAATACTCCTAAGCCACAAGGAGAACAAACAACAATAAATGAGAAGGATAATCGAGAATTACTAGAACGATCAAATAGATGGCTTTTATGAAAGAATTAGAAAGTTTTACCATGAGGAAGAAATTTTAGTTTGGAAGCACATATGGCCAACGAGTCTTAAAACAATATGTCAATAAGAAACTTATCAAAGACTACTACGTAAAGAGAACACTTCTGTTTTTGTTGTCCTTTTCTTTTTTTCCATTTTTTTTAATTTTTTTGTATTTGTTTTTGTTTTTTTTGTGTGTGTGTATAACTAGAATCTTGAATCATAAAAATGGTGTATATGAGATAGAGAGTTTTTATATTTTAGTGTTCATTGTTGTTAATTGTATTTCAATTTTTTTTGACACAATTTTTTCTTAGTCTAATAGATATGAGCACACCATTGTTTTTTCTTTCTTGCTAAAGTTTTAGCTTGAGGTCATGTGTGACAAATGGTTAAAACATTAATCTTAGATAATAAATAATAATAATAATAATAAAAAACTAAGGACCAAATAAGAAAGACAAAATTACTTATATTAATGTGTGATTTTGGTACATATGAAAAAATAAAAATAAAATATTTATAAGATGTTCAGTCCCTTCCTTTTCTTTTATCTTCTTATATATTATAAGAATGTAGTATGAAACATGAAAGGCCACCAAACCCTTAATACTAACTCTTAATCACTTTCTTTCCTACTGGTATTCTCTCAAGTCTCCTTTACTAATTTTTCTAATTTCTATTTTTTTTAAATAAATGAAAAAAAAAAAAGTTGATATGCAAATAGATAAAGTTAACAAATTTGATCTATCTCGCTTTTGTTGAAATCTTTCGTAATTAACAAATTTGATCCTATATGTTCAGTTAAAATCTTTATTTTATCTCTCAATATCTAATTTTAAATTTTATTTTTTTAAAAGCCTATTTAAACAAATCTAATTTAACATTTTGATTTTTTTTATTTGAATTTTTATTTTTTTACAAGAGCTTCAAGCATTAAATAGAAATTTTCAATTTTTAAATTTTTAAAAATAAAAAATATATTTGGCATAAAGTGATGAAAAAATTACAAACCCACAAATATTTATAACCATATATATAAATTAAAAATATATATAAACCCATAACAAATATAGATAGATAGATTAACGGCATTCAGTTTATTAGTAATTCTTTTTAGCATATATATGTTTTAGATATTAGGGTGATTGAGAAACATCTTATATATTGTTAGTATTATTTCATTAGTTAGAAATCAAGTTTATTATTTCAAGAAAAATAGATCAGTTGAATAATAATAACATTTTGTGCATATCTGCTTTTAAATTATTGTCTTTACTTATGAAATTTGAGAAGATGATCTTTATTCATTATGATTATAATTTTATGACAGAATTTAGAACTTGATGCATTATTAAAAAATTTATATACTATAAATCAGTTTCGTGCATAGCACGGGTTTACCACTAGTTAAAAAGATGTGAATGTGTGAGTGTGGTGGGTGTGTGTGTCTATGTGAGAGAGTGAGAGAGAGAGTGTGTGTGTGTGTGTGAGTGAGTGTGTGTGTGAGTGAGTGAGTGTGAAGAGTGAGTGCAACGTTTTGTATTTTATTGAAAACGTGTTTTCAAAACACGTTTTTACATTTTAATTAAAAGCGCGGTTCCTAATCACGTTTTTTGAAGAAAAAAAAAATTATTTAAAAGCGTGGTTTGTAATCACACTTTCTTAATTAAAAGCGTACAATTTTACAAATTTTTCACTAAAAGACTACAAAAACGATAAAAACGTAATTTGTAATCACATTTTAGCCTACTTTAAAAATTTCTCCGAACGAAACTTACTTTGAGAAATAACATGTTATTTTGAAAAAAGCCGCACTTTCTAATCTAATTCGGACAGGAGAGTCAAATCCAAACAAATAAATAAAATAAAATTAAAAAAAGAGCAACAATCCTTGTCCGTTAATTAATCATGGGCAAATTACATATACCCCTCGAGGTTTGGTTAAATTACAGATACCCCTCTGAGGTTTCAGAAATTACATTCCGCCCCTGAGGTTTGTATTTTCATAACAATTTGCCCCCTGAGGTTTATATTTCATAACAAATTACCCCCTAATTTCTTATGCAAATATTGCATTCAGGGGAAAATTCGTAATTTTTCAAACCTCAAGAGTATCTGTAATTTAGCCAAACCTCGAGGGGTATATGTAATTTGCCCTTAATCCAATGAGGGTGTGGGCGTGACAGTTACACGCAAACTTTATTCCCCGCGTTCATCTCGCTCTCTTTCTCTCTCTTCATCCTGCTTTCGTCCTCATCTCCATCAATGCATTAACTCCAACCAAGTCCTCTCTAACCAGAGACCAACAATGGCGTCTCAATGCCCTAACAATCGAACTACATTCTACCCACAAATAATCCAATCAAATCCAAACTCTTCCTCTCCATTCCTCTCAAACCCTAATAACCAATCTCCCCCCTCACTCTACCCTAAAATCGACGTTGAAGACCTCACCCAAAACCTCTTCCCACAAAATTATAGACAACCCCACAACTCAAACCCTAATTCGCCCTCCGCCCCTCCTCACTCCGTCGAAGAATTCATCCTCACCATCCCCGGCTCCATCCTCCATTTGATTGACAAAAAGTACAGCGTCGAGCTCGCTTGCGGCGATTTATCGATTCTGGGTCTCCGCCAAGACGGTAACATCGTCGCCGTCTTCGCTCGCGTCGCCGATGAGATCCAGTGGCCGTTGGCCAAGGACGTGGCCGCCGTTAAACTTGACGAATCGCATTACTTCTTCTCGTTTCGAGCTCCGAAAGAGAGGGATGATGAGGATTCCGACGATTTGTTGAATTACGGTTTGACGATTGCGTCCAAGGGACAGGAGGGGTTGTTGTTGGAGTTGGATAGGATTTTGGATCATTACATTAGTTTTTCGGTGCAGAGGGTTTCGGTGAAGGGGAAGAATGAGGGAGTGCTTGATGGGACGGTGGCGATGGCAGTTTCGCCGGAGGATTTGAAATCGGAGAAGAAGAAGGAGTTGATGGAGGAACGGTGCGCTGCGTATTGGACGACATTGGCGCCCAATGTGGAGGATTATAGTGGGACTGCAGCGAAGATGATTGCAGCGGGTTCGGGGCAGCTGATTAAGGGGATTTTGTGGTGTGGTGATGTGACTGTTGATAGATTGAAGTGGGGAAATGATGTTTTGAAGAAGAAGATAAAACCTGATTCGAAATCAGAGATTAGTCCTGAAACCTTGAAGAGGATCAAAAGGTTTGTTTTTTTTTTTTGGTATGCTGCTTGTTTCTGTTTCCAGACTTTTAAATTTGGTTTTGTTTGTGTCTGCCTTCATGATTTCATGTTTTTGGTTATCTAAATGTAATTGAATTGTTCTATTAGGGTCTGTTTGAATGGATGTGGATTTCAAATTTAGGGATTGGATAGAAGATGTACTTTATTAGGATCCTTTTAGTCAAAAGAGAAGAGATTCCTTAGCATGATTTCAAATAATTATTTTTATATAGTTATTTCAATTCAATCACGATAAAGCTGAGTAATTTAGTGGGAGAGTTTCACAACAGGTTCAAACTTTAAAAATAATTTCAAATTAATGATAAACTTTATCAGTATTAATTATTAAAATTATAAAGTTCTCCATGTGTATGTAGTAATTTTTTCATGTCCCACCAAGGGTTAATTTCCGCTAATTTAATCTTGAAATTCATAGGTAAGCTATTAAATCTACTAATGTCAAATTCATGTATTTCAAATTCACATCCATTCAAACGGACCCTTAATGTTTTTGTTAGTTTTAATATTGTTCATTTTGAGTTTATGAATGTTCAGCTTTGGCTCTCCATGTCATTGCTTAGGTTTTGCGAGTTCAAAAATTTGGGAAGTTAGTTTTGAATGAGCAAATTTGATATGATGTCTGTGGTTTTTGTTGTTCTATAGGGCTAAGAGGGTAACAAAAATGACAGAGAAAGTAGCAGTTGGGGTTCTTTCCGGTGTTGTGAAGGTTTCAGGAATTTTAACCAGTTCAGTTGTGAATTCAAAAGCGGGCAAGAAGTTCTTTAGCCTCTTGCCAGGGGAAATTGTTCTTGCTTCCCTGGATGGATTTAGTACGTGGATCATCTCTCTCTCTCTCTCTCTACTTTTTCAAGTTTTGTGTGTATTTGTGTCTGTTGTGAGAAATTTTAGTGGACCGCTGTATGTTCTTCGCTCTGCTGCTCAATGTTTTGAAATTTGTATATATGTGCCTATAATTGGATATGTTTACGTTTATTTTTATTCCATATCTTGTTTCTTAAGTGAACATCCCACTTTTGTCTATTATTCTGTCTATGCCACCCTAACTGCCATTGGTTTTGCTTGATGAATAAATATGAATTATTCTTATTGATGTGAAATATCAGTAGTCTATCTGTTTGATTTGTTTTTTGTTATTCAACGCTGTTCTGCTTTGATGTGGGGCTTGATATTTAGGTTCAAGGTGGATTCGAACCGCCGTGCTGGTTGATTTGGGATTGTTGGTGTTTTTGTTGCTCTTTTTCTCTCTCTTTTTTCTCTCTCCCTTTTTTTTAAAAAAAAAAAGAAAAAAAAAACTGGGATCTATGAAGTATGGGTACTTCGAAAAACATGCCATACCCGTACTACGTACTTACTGGCATATGGTACTTTTGCATACTTGTCGGGTACACAAAACACGTATCCACATTTTTTCTTCTTAATTTTTAGCGTACCCAAACGTACCTACTATATACCCAAGCCGTACCGTACCTCAGTTGAAACAATATTTTCTTCTATAACATAGATGAAACTCCTTTCACTAGGCTTCTTTTTTATTTTTAGTTTTATACTTAGCATGTCTTTAAAATTTAACTATAGTTTGTAAGTTATTTAATATATTGACATTTAATTTTTATTTATACCTATACTTTTAGCATTAAATATTAATTGTAGGTTAAATATTAACAAATCAAACTATTTAATTAATTTTTGCATTACTCTAAATTAGAAATAAATATTTTTTTACAAGCATACCAAGCTGTACCCGTACCTTATTTTTTTTAGATTTTACCGTATCGACGTACCCGTATCGTACCAGTACCAATACTCATACCCGTACCCATACTTTGTAGCCTGGGATTAACTTTTGAATTGATGGGATTGTATAACCTTTTGGTCCATGACCTTGACTTACAGTTGAGATGTTACTAGGTTGTTTAGCCTAGTTTTTGACTTGCCAACACTGCTTGACATTTAGGAACCATGGGCACTAATAAGAAAGTGGTGTGTCTTTGTCGGACATGTCAAGTCACCAATTGTCTCAAAAGCTTAACCTATTAGGAAATGGGCCCAACGATGTACATCAAGCTACTCAACATGACACGTGTCCAACACCAACACTTCCCTATACATGTCTGAACACTTTTCGATAGGTGTTCCTATTATTTTAAAAAAAGATTCGTATCCACTAAGCACACATATACAGATGACTACTTCTACATACATGAAACGCATTATAAGTTTAAACAAAATAGCTTAGTGAATGATTAAAAAAAATGTGAATTTATACTAATTAATTCCTCCCCATTTAAAATTTGAGAATTAGTCTTGTATTTTATCTCTTTAGTATTATTATTATTTTTGAATGAAGTATTCATATAAAACTACATAAAAAAATATATGACATATAAAAAATATATAAAACTATATACATGTGACTCCATGTGTTATGCTACATTTTTTAAAATTGTTGTGTCAGCATGACTGTGTTGCATCTGTATCATGCTATGTTTTCATGCTTCTTAGCCTGACATTTCTGAGTACTTTGTAAGAGCTTTGTGGATCATAAACTTCTTCTAGATAGGGCAATTGAACCTGCTTATGTGAGATCTGTGTACAAGTGTCATGCATTTGATTTACCGAGGATGGGAAACTAAGAGTCCATTTGGATTGAGTGATTTGATGAGAAATGATAAGAAATGAAGAGAAAGAGAACTCTTTTCTCATGATTGGTTTTTAAGTTAGGTGTGAAATGATGAAAAATGGAGGGAAAGAAAACACTCCAACTGGTGAGATTTTATGAGAAACAAACTAATTAGTTGTGAATTTTTTATAATACCGAGGTTGCCTACTCCAACCCCATTTGATGGGACTTAAGGCTTAGTTTGGTTTAGTTACCGAGATTGCCTACTAAAATACAAAACAAGAAAAAGAAATTTCACCCATATCCTTATATCACAGACTTTCCTTTCTGACTCATCCAAATATAATGGTGAGAAAGCACAATTATTTTTTTTCTTACCTAGATGAGATTCCAGTCATTTCTTTTCTTTTTTAACCGATGATCCAAACGGAAAACAAATCTTTGTTTGGAATTTGAATTGACAAGGGATAGGAAGAGAAATGAAATCAAAAGGAAAACCTTATTGGCATTTGAAGTTCACATGGTGGCAAATATACATGTCTTGGAGACCATGGGACTCTCTCTCTCTCTCTCTGTCTCTCTCCATTATTTGTTTGTGATGATGATGATGATAATGACAATGATTTGTGCGCGTGTGCGTGAATTTAGATGGGCATCTACCATGGGGGCTTCCCCTTCCTTCCCCAGATTTGAAATTTCAGTTAATAAGTTCAGGTTGACAGGTCCACTATGCAGCATTGAATGTTTGAATACCATATAGCAATGTTCTGGTGTTGCCCTTTTTTACTAGATTATTTATCTGGCTTTTGCATCTGCATTCAATTTCCTTTTTACAGTTTTTTTTTTTTTTTAATTCACATGTTTTAATTTTAATTTCTTTGAATAGGCAAGGTCTGTGATGCTGTTGAAGTAGCTGGCAAGAATGTAATGTCAACCTCATCCACTGTGACAACTGGACTTGTCAATCACAGGTAATCTTCAACTACGTTAAATTTTTAGCATCCACGAATAGTATGCTATGTGAAACAATTAGAATACAAAAGTGGGAAGAAAGGAAAATAGATATTGACCTGCTTGGTTCAACTTCATGTCTCGCCTTTCCTGAATGAATAAATGCAGTATTTGCTAGTTGAAGAATTAAACTGAACATATAATGTGACCTTGGCAGAATAATTCGAATAGACATACATAGGGCTGCAAATGACCTTGGACAATCCGAGCTTTGTAGTGTTTGAGCTCAGCTTGTTGAAAATTTGTTGAACTTGAGCTCGAGTAGAGCTCAAGTCGAGTTTAAAAAATTGAGCTCAAGTTCGGTTCGTCCAATATTTGAGAAACTCAAGCTTGGCTTGAGCCAACTGGATTACATAAATGAGCCAAGTTGGAGCTTGAGCTTAAAAAGAAAAATAAAACCTAAATAACATGCACTTTAAAAGAAAAAGCAGAAGATTATGATAAATTTTTTTTAAAAAAAAATTAATAAATTTTATCCATTAAATATGTAAAATCTGCGCAAACACCAAACATAGACAAAGAAATAAAAATTGAAAGAATATGAATACAAACAAATCACTGGCCTTGGGAAACAGTTGTATAAAATCATCAAAAGAGATCAAATGATCAATGAAACCCAATTTCATGGTTTGTTAATGAATTTGTAGAACAGAAGAAGAAAATATTACAAGACACACATTGCATTCACCAGAGAAAATAAATAAATAAATAATCAACTCATTCATCCATTTTTATTTATTCAAAAAAGTTCTAATGTTGTCTTTAAATGCAATTTCACAACATATAGTATTTTCTACGATATGATCAGGTATTTGTTTATAAAAAATTAAAAAAAAAAAAAAAAGGTTTCAATTAGATGTTGTAGTTGATTAAAGAATTTGCATATCTGTTTTAAAAATATTGTGTCCACCAACACTTTATAAATGAATTCCTATATTTACATTTTTTTATACCATATGAGTTGAAGTTGGTAAACATCTGATATTCATATTTCAATATCAACAAGGTTCTTATTTCAGTGAAAAAATATTGATTGTACATTGCCTTGAGTTTTCTTTCTTCTTCTTCTTCTTTTTTTTTTTTTTTTGGGGGAGGGGGGCTATTGGGAGACGCATTAAAAAAAGAATGCAACTGTGTATGAGAGCCAACAATGAAAGTTACACAAAATTTAAGCAGAACCAAAAAAGAGTAACCAATGAGAAGAGAAGATGAATTGCAATTCGTTAAAAGCAAAGACTATAATGATAGCATAGCAGTGGATATATTAAAACCACTAAAACATGAAATTGTTCATAATACCCACTTATGCACCAAGTACTTAAAATGGCATTCCAACTCCTGGTGTCAAGAAAATATCTGTCAGTGCAAACAAAGTGCAAATCTGTGATTATCTGTTCTCTGCATCTCCTAGACAGGGAAGGAAAAAGTATATTCATACCAGCAAGTTATGTTGTTGAAAAATGTATGAATAGAGACACTAATTTGGGAGAGTTAGAATTGGAAAACTGAAGCAGAGTCATGGGAAGAGTAAAAGCATTTAGAAAATACTTGGGTCGTGGAGTGATTTCTGGTCTGAAAGTGTTTGTTGTTTACCCTCAGTTATTTCGTCAAACTGTTATTTGCAGTAATAACAGTTTAAAGCGGAACTTTGTTAGACAATTTGGGAATCACAAAATTGACAGAATGTTAAACTTGAGGGAACACCAACTGGTGATCTTCTTTTATATAGCAGTATGGATATTTGATATATTATTAAAAATAAATATTAATTTATATATTCTTTTGTTTGCACCTATTCGAGCCAAGCTTTAGGTTATTCAAGCTCTGCTCAATTATTGAATGAGACTAAAAATTTGGTTTGAGCTCAAATGAGTTTTAAACAAACAAAGCTCGAGTTGCTCATAAACAGCTCTGGTTACATTCCGTTACAGTTCCAATGCCCTCTCTGGGTATTTGATGTCCTATTTCAACATGTGAACGGCATTGTAAGATACCCATTTTCCAGCTACTTGTTGATGCAGAATTACAGAAATATGAAATTAACCTATTGTAGAATTTGGGAGGATCACAGTTTAACCTGATGCAGGTATGGGGAAGAGGCAGCTAAGGCAACAAGCGAAGGACTCAATGCTGCAGGGCATGCTGCTGCAGCAGCATGGGCTGTTTTCAAAATTCGAAAGGCTTTCAACCCAAAAAGTGTTCTAAAACCCTCCACGTTGGCCAAGTCTGCTGCTAAAGCTGCGGCTAAAGAGATGAAAGCCAAGAATTCCAAGTAACTAATTAGATGTGCATTATTGATTTGGTTTATAGCTTCTGCTGTAGAGTGTGTTAATCCTCGTAGATAATGCTAATTGTAGCTGAAAATGATGGCAAACAACTGTATTTTTTTTTATCAGAATGTCATGCCCAAAAAAACTTTCCCAGAATTTTATAGAGATTGTTATTGTGTGGTGGAGATTGAGTTGGTGCTGTGTGGGTCCATGTATGATTGATAATTCTGGGTAAAAAATTTGAGTTTGTAGTATTACTGATTATATTTATTAATCATGTATTGTATTGAATGTAAAACTAGGTGACTCATGGTAGGAAAAGTATGCTTATCTATTTATTTAGGGTCATTTATTGTAAGTTTTTGTGTTCTTGGACATTACATGGAAATCAATATAAAAAAAATAAAAATAAAAAAATAAAAAATGATTTGATGTTGTCATCTGTTATTATATGGAACTTGACTTGCAAACAAACAATTATAGTTTAAAGAGTAACCAAAAACTGTTGTCTAAAGATTTGCCTCTGATAGTCTTCCCAGCAAAAGGAAACAACCATGTACACCATCAATGGAAAGGAAAATTAGAAAGAGAAAGAGGTCGCCTCACCAAATGTCATCACAAAATGTTATGACATTTATATTTTAAGGAAACACAACGTAATTATGATAAAATTATGTAGTTTAATTATAATTTTTTCTTGGATACTTGGGCAATGGATTTAATTTTGAAACTTTTGAGACAATAACTAGTTATTATCTTTTTATGGATAATAATATTTTGATACTTATCTGTTTATTTGTTCATTATTTCACTTATCTATCCATGTGTCACTTATTTGTTTGCCTATCTATCTGTATAATCTATTTTAACGTTCAGCCACAGTGGGTAAAAATAGAAAGAATTATCTTTCAAAACAATAATTTGTCACTCACCAAATAATTTTATTAATCATGTCTTTACAGTTAATACAAAATAATTCTTAGACTAATGTTATACACCCCTAAAAAAGGATTTCTCAATAAATTCTTCTTTTTATTACTTCAAAAAGAAAGTCAGTATAATATATCCGACAACACAAAAAATTCTAATATCCGACAACACAAAAAATTTGAGAAGAATCTCCTAATCTTTGAAATGTTACTGATACTTAGAGATAAATCCCTCGAGGCCTAAACTTGCAAAATAAAGATCTGCCCCAGTTGTGTCATCAATTGGGAGGGCATTTCGATACTGAAGTTAGCAACAAGCTCTATAACACCAATAGCACTAATATTCTAATATAACACCAATAGCACTAATATTGAAAGCTAATAATGCGTAAGTGTCCTTACTTGTCTTATATCTCAATAAGGATTTTTAATTTTATCCAACCTAGAACTCAATAGCCTAGTCATACATTGATTGGACCTTGGCTATTATCCTTCAACCACGTGACACCTCTGAGGTCATACTACGGGGTGTTTTGAGAAAATAGTTGAAAGTTAACTTTTTAATTTTTTTACATGAGAGATAATGTGATCAAAAATAAGTTAAAAGCCGACTTTTGATTTTTAATCCTTGTTCTCAAATGGCCTTATATGACCGTCCTAGTAGACCCACAAGGCACTACTCAAAAATATGACTCCACCTAATTTATCCCAAAAAACATATATAATGAAAAGCAACTATTCATTCTGCTAGCAATTGTTAGTGGGAATCAGTTGTAAAACAAGTAAGCCACTTGAACTCGATTTGTTAAAAGGTAAATTTGAGATTGATTGTTTAGTTTAATAAGTTTATATATATTATAATATTGTATAAAAAATCAAATTATTTGTGCGCAGATCAAAATTAATTTAAATGAAACTTGAGAGGGTAATTTTTGGGAAAGAATTGGGCCGAGCTGTGAGTTGGGCCCTGCGGCCCAAAGTGTGAAGGAATCGGTAAGAAGCCGTAATGTTATTTCGGCCCAGTAGAGGTATGGATACTCCGGCCCAGGAGAAGTGAAGTTATTCCGGCTCAGGAGAGGTGTGGTTACTCCGGTTCAAGAATGTGTAAAGCAACTCCGGTCCGGTAGCAATTTGAAGTGAGTCAGGCCTTGCATTTAGTCCGGTCGTGACATATTATGGTTAGGTCGGTCAGAACTTACTACTTGGAAGTTTGATCTAAACACACCATGGTTGAACAGGGGAAAGCCGAGATAAGGAGTTGGAGGAGAAGACCGAGCTAAGGACAGTTCGGCCTTCTCTGTGGCTCTGCATAGCCAAGCTTATTTCGGTCATATGGTAGTTCGGCCAAAGTAAAAACCATCCCACTTGGTTTAAACAGTGGGGGAGGGTGTAAAAGGATAAGCATTATCCTTAGGAGTATGAATCCTAGGAGGACTCTGCATGGAGGAATAAAAGTCCTACTAGGATTGTGCCACTGGAAACTTATAAAAGCTCACAAACATCACCTTGGAGGGGGTAATTGAATACAATTTTTCTGAGAACATAGAACTTTTGTCTATCTGTCAAGTTACTGACTTAGGCATCGGAGAGGTTTCCGGCACACACCCGCCGGCTAGCTCACGTTTGTGTTTTCAGGTGAGAAAGCGACGCCGTACGGAGAAGCGTGAACTTGGTCAACAGGATTATACGAGGAGAATTATTTCCTCCCCGTACAAAACTCATTTGAGACAAGCTTGAGCACCATTTTGAATTTCGTTAAGTTTTTAAATCAATTTAAATAATTTACAATGTATTCCTTACTTGTTATATGCTATTGATTTTTAATCCTTGTTCTCAAATGGCCTTATATGACCGTCCTAGTAGACCCACAAGGCACTACTCAAAAATATGACTCCACCTAATTTATCCCAAAAAACATATATAATGAAAAGCAACTATTCATTCTGCTAGCAATTGTTAGTGGGAATCAGTTGTAAAACAAGTAAGCCACTTGAACTCGATTTGTTAAAAGGTAAATTTGAGATTGATTGTTTAGTTTAATAAGTTTATATATATTATAATATTGTATAAAAAATCAAATTATTTGTGCTCAAATCAAAATTAATTTAAATGAAACTCATTTGAGACAAGCTTGAGCACCATTTTGAATTTCGTTAAGTTTTTAAATCAATTTAAATAATTTACAATGTATTCCTTACTTTTTATATACTAGATGAGAAAAAAAGAAAACCACTATGATTTGTCATCAAAGTGAGAAAAGAAAAGAAATTGTTGTGATTTCTCTCTATTTTGGTTAGACATTAAAATAAATAAATAAATAATCAGGATACAAGTATCTTTTCATTTTCTTTGGTTTGTATATAAATGAACAATTTAGGTATTATAAAAATTTTATATAAAGCATTTTCATAATTTTTTATTTCTTAGTAAATCTTACCAATTTTGGTGAGAAACAAATTATCAATTTTAATTTTTTACTCAAGCAAATAAGTGCTAAAAGTAATTTTCAACTACTTTTTGGTAGAATCATGTTTACTGTTTTAACATTAAGAAAATGGTATACAAACTAATAAATCATATATATATATTTTTTATTGATGTAACATACAATAATAAAAATGATATTTACAAATAGATTATATTATAATAATAAAAGAATTACAAATCTTATTATTTGTGTAGATAGAAAGTTGGTAAACATCATTTTCTTGAAGGGTGAGGAGAGTATATAATAATCTGTCAAAAGTACAGATCACTTACTTGAGAAGATAATCCAACTTTATAATTGTGGGTGCTCCTCTTAGCAGCCTCAAACAGTATCTTGCTGGGTCCATGCAATCCCATGCCCTGTTTTTAACTAAATCATGGATTTATCTTTTATTTTTTGCCATCACTTTTGATTATTTAGTTATTGGATTTTGATTAGCAAAGCCTTGCTTCAACCAATATAATGCTCCATTGTGTTTTATTATATGGAATGTGAAATGTCATTTCTTTGTCCCTTTCAAAAAATTAACGTTGTGTGGAAGTGGTATGGAATTATCACATTATCTTTGGTCTGAACTGATTATTGTTAGTAATTTCGAACAAAGTAAGATTTGAGATCACACTTGCTCCCCCATTTTCTCATGATTTATCGGAAGTAGTCAATTATAAATGAATAAGAACAAAAGTAATGTGTTAATCTGGTCCGGGCTAATTAATGTGCTGTGTGAGGTATAGAAGTAAGAAAAATGTTTGGATATGTGTTATTGTCTATGTGATACTCTCGATCAATGAAAAATCATATATATTTTTTGAATATATTATGAATGATGATAAATTTCTAAAAATGTGATTTGAAACTAAATCGAATCAAACCGAACCGAATCGATTTGTGTTTAACTAATCCGATTCTAAGATTTTCATGGAACTATAAATAATGTGGTTTGAGACTTGATCTCTTCCTCAATAAAATTAAATTAAAGTAAATCATATTCACGAGACTCATCTTTTATTTCTTAATCCCTTTTAAATTTTTTCTCTATATAACTAGTTATAATGATGAAAAAAGAGAGTGACTATGAAAATGACAAAGTAGAGAGCAATGTGCCGACAATTGAAAGTGAGTAAAGACAGTATTAGTGATATGGTTTCTTATATTATGTTGTCCTTTTTAAGGCTAGACAAGCAATTGGAATGGGGAATAGTGTGGAGACTTTATTAGCCACCCATTAGGGCATGCCTGGTTTAAAGGTAAAACATATAAGACCTCAGCTACAAGCATTAACAGAAAAGATACGTGCACACAACTTATGTATAAAAAAAATATTTTAAAAATTATTATGTGGTTTCAATTTAATTTTTGGATAAATTACAAATACGTGTTTTAAGATTTGATTAAAATACGAATCGTCTTCTGTAGTTTTGAAAATTACATTTCACCCTCTGAGATTTGTAATTTCATAACAAATCGCTCTTCTATTAATAAATTACCAAGTCAATTAACAATTTTTAATGATGTTAGAAATATATTTCAATTAATAATTTAGGTAATTTTATTATTGTATAAGAGAGCAATTATAGATTTCATTTTTTTTAGTTAATTCTGTTAAATAAAAAATTCTAACAATGGAGTATTTGTAATTTTTCAAACCACATTAGACAATCTGTACTTTAAATAAATTTCAAGAGGTGTATTTGTAATTTACCCTTAATTTTTTTATTGTGGGGTTTACGTATAAAAAAATTTACTCCCCTCCGTATTATTTATTATTCTTTATATTTTATTTTGTGGGTCTCCTTTCATTCCTAGGACGATGGTATGAATCATTTATCTGGTAGACTTAGCCTCCATTTGGGAAGTGGGTTGGCTTTTTGACTTTTTGACTATTTTAGCCTGGGGCTAAAAAGCCTGGTTTGGGAATGGCTTTTTGGCTTTTTTGACTTTTTTTGTGAGAGAGGAGTGTAATGATTATGTGTTAGATTTGATATTTTATTTTTTGTGGCTAAAATAACCTATTTTGTTTTTTTGTAGCTATTTTAGCCCCTAACCCACCAAAACCAACTTCCTAAACTATGCCTTAGTAGAAATGATGTGTCGTGCAAAAGACCAGTTTCATCAAACATTACTAGAGGCATAAACAAATTACATTTTGTATTTTTAATAGACGGTAATTATAAATTTAAACTTAAACTATCCATTTTATAAAACAGTTTTTACTGTGAAACTAATTTTTTGCGCACACAGTTTTTACTGTGAAATTTAAATTATCATTATAAGTCCAAAATAAGACCTATAAAATAAAATATGAATATAAAAAATAGTCACTCTGTTTGGTTTTGATTTTGAAAATTTATTTTTCAAAAAATTCTTTTTTTTATATTTTTTTCTTTTCACTAATTTTTAATGATATTAGAAATATATTTCAATTAATAATTTAGGTAATTTTATTATTGTATAAGAGAGCAATTATAAATTTCATTTTTTTTAGTTAATTCTGTTAAATAAAAAATTCTAACAAGGGGGTATTTGTAATTTTTCAAACCACATTGGGCAATCTATACTTTAAATAAATTTCAAATGATGTATTTATAATTTACCCTTAATTTTTTTATTGTGGGGTTTACGTATAAAAAAATTTACTCCCCTCTATATTATTTATTATTCTTTACATTTTTTTATATTCTATTTTGTGGGTCTCATTTCATTCCTAGGACGATGGTATGAATCATTTATCTCGTAGACTTAGTAGAAATGATGTGTTATGCAAAAGACTAGTTTCATCAAACATTACTAGAGGCATAAACAAATTACATTTTGTATTTTTAATATACGGCAATTATAAATTTAAACTTAAACTGTCCATTTTATAAAATAAAACTAGATTTGTTCATTTATTTATTGATATCTAATGAAACTAATTTTTTGCGCACACAGTTTTTACTGTGAAATTTAAATTATCATTATAAGTCCAAAATAAGACCTATAAAATAAAATATGAATATAAAAAATAGTCACTCTGTTTGGTTTTGATTTTCAAAATTTATTTTTCAGAAAATTCTTTTTTTTTGTATTTTTTTGTTTTCACTAAATTTTTTTAATATTTTAAGCATCTTTTTTAATTTATAGACACACCTAACATAAATATACTTAAAAAGTATAATATTTGTGAAAAAAATCTTTAAAAAATGCACTAAATACCAAAAAAATGAAAATTCAGTACATATTTTATATTTTTGTGTATTTATTAATTTTTAAAAATATTTTTTCACAAATATTTTACTTTTTAGATATATCTATATCTAAGTAAGGTATATCCAAAAAAAAAATTACTTAAAATTTTAAAAATATTCATTGAAACAAAAAAATATGAAAAATAAAAAATTCAATTTCTAAAAAATTAAATTCAAAAAATTAAAATCAAATACACTAAATGATATTTTAAATTCTTGTTGTAAACATTAATTAGTGGGATGTTAGTAAGCCACAAGCAACAGGTACGATTCTTGTTGATCAATGAACAATGATCATGGATGTGCGACGTGGGAGTCACTAATAGAGAGTGTCCTAAGAGGCTCAAGAGCCATCCAAGTCAAATTACATGATTACACATATCATATCTACTCCTTTTTTTTTTTAATACAAATATCATATCTACTTATAGCACGCCCATTAACCTTTTCGGTTATTTTACTTAAAATTATATAGCCGTCCTTGCCATAATCTCGGGAGGTAGGAGTGTAAATTTGACTCGGCCCGATCTATGTCAGGCTTTGCAGACTCTTGTCAAAATTCAAATTAGGCCACAGGTTAGAAAATTAAGCCCAGGCCTAGGGAGTATTCGGGCCTTGGGACGGTCCGGTGGGCCTAGGCCTGGGCTCGGGCTTAGGACGGGCTTGAACAAATTTTTTTATTTTTTTCTATTAATTTTTTTTTTATTTTTCACTAAAAAAAATACTGGGTCTCAGTCGGACTGGGTCTCGGGCCTGGCCTTGAGTGAGCCTTAAGCGGGCTGATGGACCGGACCCACAGGCCGGGCTTCAAAATGATGGCCTAAGCCCTGACCCAGAGTCTCGAGCTAGGCTGGGGCCCGGGCACAAACGGGCCTAAATGGGCCAGGCCCATTGTAGAGCTACTAATTAAGAAAAATATGAATGAAATATAAATTAATTATTTTTTGTTTTTCTCTCATTTCTTTTTTTATTTTCTAAATTTCTATTTAAATTCATGATTTAACTCATCCAACGCTAAGGAAAGAGAGAGGGGTTTTGGGGGCAAGATTCTTGCACCTCCAAGGTTTGGGATAATTTGTTCTCCAAATCAATGCCCCCAATGCAAGTCATGGTGGAAATCTCAAGGCACAATAGTATGATGCATAGTATTGAGGACAAATGGATAGGGATTTTGAGGATAAATGGCGAGGGATCATTTGTTCTCAGAATTAATTTTTTAATACACTCTTGATCACACGATACATGAGAATCTCAAAATATGATAATTTTGAAATACTGTCTTATGGCCAAAAGTACATTAGGAATGGAGGATAGAGACTTCGAGAACAAATGATCCCGTTTATTTCTACCGAGAGAAATCAACCAGTTTGTTCTCTCTCCATCTTTTCTTGTTGCTTTTTCATTTTCATGCATTTTTCTTGTGCTTGTGAACTAGGATTTGAGATGCAAGTAATGGAAACTTGAAAATACATAGAGGAAAAGTGGGAAGTTTAAAAGGTTGTTTAACCTATTATGTATGAATTTGCAACAAATTTAAGTTTGTTTTTTAACTCTCAAAGAGCCTAGTGCTTTGTGATACTAGTTGGATTTGAAGATATGAAATCCCATTCATTTAATTACTTTATGGTTGCATTATCACTTCTGTTTGGAATCTTCAGGACTAATTTTCAATTGATTATTCCATTGTGAAGGCTAATATCGTCACGTCATCAAAATTTGAATTCAGAACTAACTTGTAAAATTATTTTTAATTATTTAAAAAAGATCAACTACATTGAAATCAAATTGTGACAACATGACAACACTACGGGTGGAACAGAAAGTTAGGACACAGAATCCAAAGTCCACGTGTCAAAATTTCACGTATGCTGAAAGAACATCGCTGTGACTTCATATTATGACCAAATCACTAATGGCATAGATCCATGGCCTCTTTGAGGATCCTAGGGTTTGGATCTTCAACCAACAACACAATGAAATCTGCATTTTGGACCCTTGATCTTCAAATTTCCAACCATATGCAAATTGGAAAAGCTCCATGGACACATGTTTGGAGGTCCTAGAAGGTTTTGGACAATGAGAAACAATTCAACAAGCCATTAGAAGAAATTAATACAACTTGCAATTGGTCAAGGATGGTATAGCAATTTTGATCTGATTAAATTCCAACTTGCAATTGGTCAAGGATGGTATAGCAATTTTGATCTGATTAAATTCCAATACATGCTATAATGGTTGAATTTGTCATAGAAATTTAAAAAAGGGAGGCAGGTATGGATGATGAATAGAAAAAATTTAAGTGCACAGAATCTAATCACAAAACTAGGCCCTTTCACATGTGGTGGGACCATTAACTGTGTGGGTCCCACCCTTATAGAGGGCTATGTCCGGCCGGTTCTATGATCTGATTCTGTGCATATAGAGGAACTATGACGACACCTCCCCACTTCTGAAAGCTACAAGTAAAATGTGCCTCTAAAAAGTGGGAGGTGACATTAGCAGAAACATTAAAGCACCCTCTCTCTCTTGTATATGTTTGATTGCAATCTCATGTAATCTTATTGTTTTGGAAGATTATATTGGCAAAGAAAGTAGATGAAAACCTCCATTGTAAGCTCTGAATCTTCAAAAGCTGCTCTGAATCTTCACACCAATGGCATCACTGGTAAGAAAGGCCTTGAACAGGATATCTGGTTTTGCCAATTCTTGGGAAAGAAACCAATCTCCTCGCAGCAGCCCAAGAACTTTCCACAGAGATGTTGAGCAAGAAGAGTTCCAGTTTGAAACTAGTCCTTGTCTATCATCCTACTACAGCGTCTTTGTAGTTCGCCTTGCCATCATGGTTTGTAAATTTTATCTCTGCACACAATCATAGTCAATCAATCCAATGTTTGGATAGCTAGAAAAATACATAGGAAAATGATGCTGACCAGTCAGAGTTAACCATGAATTGAATTTACATAATATACTTGTTTTCAATGGCTGCATTTCAGGTGATGCTTGCAGTTTTGATAGGAATGCTAACCTTGCTGACGTGGCATTTCACGAAGGTCTTCACGACAAAATCTCTGGAAAATTTAGCTCTTGGCCTTCGGTATGAAATTCTGCAACGTCCCATTTTGCGAATGTGGAACATCTTGAATTCCACAGTTGAAATAACAACCGCTCAAGTCAAACTGTCGGAGTATGTAATTAGACGGTACAGCAACTCTGTTAATCAAGCACAGCAAGTAGAGGTTGTTTGTTGAGCCAATCTTTTCCATTGATCATTTTGACTATTGCTGTCCATGAAGTTGATCATGTTTCTTTTTCTCTTTTTCTTTTTTGCAGCTATATGAAGTAATGAGGGAAGTAACATGGGCACTGTTTGTAAGTCACAAAACTCTTAATGCAATAACTATAAATTACAAAAACGGTTTTGTTCAAGCATTCCACAGAGATCATAGGAGTAAAAATACATTCTACATCTACTCTGATCTTGTCAACTACTCAATCAATGGCGTATATGATATCAACATGTTATCGTCTCATCATGGGTGGAACGATCAAACCATACATGGTAACATTTCTGCTATCTGGTACCGAGAACCACTAGATCCTGCTACCGGTGAAAAGATTGGGAAATCAGAGCCAATCTCACCAGATGAGCTAATCAACATTGCAGGCTTATCACAAGTACCCGACGGTGCAGCCTCATGGCACGTGGCGGTGAGCAAATACACTGATTCACCATTGCTCTCAGCAGCGTTGCCAGTTTGGGATGTTTCAAATGAAAGTATTGTGGCTGTTGTGGGAGTTACTAAGGCACTTTACAGTGTAGGTCGGTTGATGAAAGAGTTGGTTGAATTTCACAGTGGACACATTTACTTGACCTCTCAAGAGGGTTGGTTGCTTGCTACTTCCACATATGCTCCACTTTTGAAGAATTCAACATCGGGGCCTAAGCTTATGATGGCTATCGATTCTGAGGATAATGTGATACGAATGGGCGCCGAGTGGTTGAAGATGGTCTATGGAAACAAGTTTCCTCCAAATCATGAGGCCCGTGTAGAGAATGCTAGGCTTGGAGACCAGCTATATTACATTGATTCATTTTTTCTCAACTTGAAGAGGCTTCCAATGGTAAGATTGCCCTTGTTTGATTGTGTTTTCATTTCAGAAAAACAGCCCATTTCCAAGACCAAAAAGTCGTTTTTGAGAACTGTTTTCCACAAAAATGAAAACGGTATTGAAAAATCTAAAAATTCCCAAGATGTTTATTTGTGATTATGTATTAATTTTAACCAGTAAATAGCAATTCCAATCAAACAATCAAAGAAGAATCGGCACAACGATTTAACGTGAAAAAACCACAATCAGAGCATCTCTAATTGTGATAAAAAAATCACGGGCAAAAGCCACAAAACAATCTACTAAAAAGACAAAAAAGAATTACACAAGTGTACTCCCAATTACCTAGCAAATCCACGCCCAAATTGAACCGACCCCAAAGTGCCTCGTCCACCACCGTCTTCACCTCGGAATTGTCTTGCTCAACATTGAATCCACAACGATGATGTCGAATCTAAGATGACGAACCACTCCGGAATCCATCAAAGCTTTAGGCCCAAATTCCACGGAATCCACCGAAGAACAACTCTCTCTCTTTTTGAATAAAACAAACTAAATAAACCTTTTGATATAATCCACTCAATTCATAATATAAACTCTCACATATATCAAAGGAAACAAACAAAGAAGTTCCAGAAGAAAACCCTAATACCCAAAAGAAAGATCTGGTAGTCGTTCCCTAGAAACTGATTTAATCGCAGCTTTATAGCAGGCTGAATTGAGATCTCCGCTCAAGCGGTGTGACTAAAATGCGTGTTTCAGAACTGCAATCTCTACTCAAGCGCAGGAAAGGTCGCTCAAGCGTAAAAATACAAATCCCAGTACTTTTGCAGGTGAAACTCTTGAAAGGATTGAATCTCTGTTGAAGCACACAATCAGCCGCTTGAGCGGTCAAACAACTTCGACTGCAAATTTACTTTTGGCTTTAGGGGCGCTGCCTTGGACCCCCACGAGCTAACTGGGCAGCTCGATCCCCGACATAGTTAGCGAAGTGACAAACATGAAAGAATTAACATCGCAAACTCCCCTACAAGGCACAATTCGAGTTGGATTCGCATCTAAATACTCATAATCTCACTAAAATAAAGGAACAAATAAAATTACATCTTAAAAGAGTTTTCTCAAACGAGATTGTCAATAACAAAATCCTAACAGGTATGAAAACAATGTGCGTTCTTGAGTTTTTCATTGTTTTTGAAACATGAAAAATGAAAACAAAACCAAACTTTTTCGCCTTATATCTCTTACTATGAATTGAAATCTTAGTTCCTAGTTCTTACAGTGTCAAGAATTCAGGTCTTAGGCCCTTAGATAAACAGGCATTTCATTTAATTCTTTGTCAGGAAGGCCAAAGATTCTAGCTTTTCTTGTTTGTTTTGCTTATAATTATGTCACAAAGAGGAATAACATTTAACGATTATTACTTTTACAGGTAGGGGTGATCATTATTCCAAGGAAATATATAATGGGGAAGGTTGATGAGAGATCAATTAAAACATTGGTTATACTGATATCGGTGTCACTATGTATCCTAGTCATCGGTTGTTTTTGCATTTTTATATTGACAACTGGGGTGTCGAAGGAAATGAAACTAAGAGCGGAGTTGATAAGCCATTTAGATGCAAGGCGAAAGGCCGAGGCATCTAGCAACTACAAAAGCCAGTTTTTAGCAAACATGAGGTAAGTATCATATATATATATTCAACAAGAAAAAAATGTACATATAATAAGAAGAAAAAAAAGCTACAAAAACAAGGGTTTATATGTTTTCTCCTAGTCTTACAGCATCTTTTTACCAAATTTAGACCATCTGATTATTGTGTGAAAAAATTTGGAATTTTACATTTTTATTGCATTGTGCATTGTTGTGGCTTTGAGGTGGTAAAAGTTGTTTTTATTGAGATAGTCATGAATTGCGAACACCTATGGCCGCGGTGATTGGACTGTTGGACATCCTTACATGTGATGATTGTCTCACAAACGAGCAATATGCAACAATTACCCAAATTCGTAAATGCTCAACTGCATTACTCCGGCTTCTCAACAACATTTTGGATATCAGTAAGGTGAGGAACAAAGACAAGTCCTCTATTAGCAGTTTTGGATAAACATTTTTATTTTATGACCTTTGTCTTCAAATATGATTAATTTCATCAATGAGTTTCAAGGTTGAAACTAATGTTTATTTAGCAGAGAATAATATTGTCAAAAAAATTTAGCAGGAGAATGACCAAGAACCGAGTGACCAAAGTTTTATCAGAACACTGCAATTCTCACTAAAAATCATATTCATATAGGTTGAATCTGGAAAACTAGTGCTTGAAGAAGCTGAGTTTGACTTGGGGCGAGAACTTGAAGGGCTTGTTGATATGTTCTCTGTGCAGCGGATTAACCACAATGTGGATACTGTTCTAGATCTCTCTGGTATCACATCAAGATCTCCCATCACATTCATTATAGTGAATAAAATAAGAAATTAAGCTCAACTATCAAATTATATGATTTGTAGTCTTTAGTACTCAGTCTCTGACATACACTATTGCTCGTTTTCTTTTGTAGATGATATGCCAAGATTAGTTCATGGGGACTCTGCAAGAGTTGTTCAAATATTTGCAAACCTAATTAGCAATTCTATCAAGTTTACAACTTGTAAGTGCACCTATGACATTGTTAAATTTGCAATTAAAAAAAAATGGTATGAGGATATTAGTTATCATCAAAGTAAGCAACGTGGAATAAATTTTCTGCATGAATATACTAAAAGATAATAGATTTTCTTTGGAAAGGCGAATTAAAAACGTGCAGGATCTCATTTTCCCAAGTGACTTACAGCGGGCTACATTGTTCTGCGAGGATGGTGTGAGAATCCAAGCACTTCTAGTAACACCAAGAAGTTTCCCATCAATCCAAAGGAATCATGGTGTATGCATAAAACAAATTTGAAGCAACACGTTAACCTCATAAAGCGATCCTGCAAGAAAGAGAAGAAAGTGATTCTTTGGTTTGAAGTTGATGATAGTGGCTGTGGTATGAACCTTACAGCTTCTTTATAGCTATGAATAATGACTTCTATTTTTAAAAACTTGATTTTTTTTCTTTTTTCTTTTTTCTTACTGTAGGAATTGATCCAAGCAAATGGGAGTCTGTTTTTGAAAGCTTTGAGCAAGCAGATCCCTCAACAACTCGCACGTACGCAGATTTTATAAAATTTTCATCCTTCAATGCCCAATGGTTAAAATTTGTTAATTTAAATTACTATTGAGTAAAATTTGTTAATTTGCTGTGCCGTTACAATAATTTTTGATATGCTATAATAAACTGAAAATTGGTATTATCGAATTTCTTTAACTTTTTGCCATTTTCAGGCACGGTGGCACTGGTCTTGGCCTATGCATTGTGCGAACATTGGTGAGTAAAAGTATTTTCCCAAGTACAAAATTTAATCATCATGAAAACCAGAAGAACAGAAGACCAGAAACTTTAACATTGTCCTATGGATTGCTATTTCTTTTTCTTTCTTTCTTTTTTTTGTCAAAAAAAAGGTTCAACTAATTATTTTCATTATTTTATATACCACCTCATTTTCGACCTTATTCTATCTTATGATGTGAGGTGGTAACAGGTAAACAGGATGGGCGGAGAGATTAAAGTTGTAAAGAAGAATGGACCAGGGACTGTAATGCAATTATACTTGCTTCTCAGTACACCGGCAGATACTGCAGGACAGCATTACCTACATCAATTTACTGAACAAAGTTTGACGGTGAGTAAAGTTACTTAAGGTTGACTCAATGTGGAGAGGGCAAGATGTACGCAGTTACCCCTCCGTTTCTAGAGAGATTACTTTCGTGACTCAAAACCCGAAAGTTGCTTCATTCTTTAATTTTATCTTTTTTAACTAAGGTACTGTAATCCAATCTCCCAGTACCATAACAGAAATTCAGCAATGATTTTTGAGGTAAAAGTTATACCACAATGCAAAAATAGGGGATATATTATTGACAATATGCAATCTAGTGAAGTCTAGAATTGCTTTGTGGAAATTCATAATTCTTTAATGACTTCTCCTTCCAAAAGTCCTAGGAAATAAATAAACGAAACCTAAAGAATATAAGATTGGTGTAGTACTCTCCCTGCTTCTCCATCCCTGCCTTCCTCTCTTTGAACTCTAAGGTTGTGTTTGGATCATGGATTTAGGTAGGGATCTGGAAAGAGAAAGGGAAAAGGTGGGTGAAATGTAGCTATATTTCATTCACATTTCACCCACCTTTTTCCTTTGCCTTTCCAAATCTATGATCCAAACATAGGCTAATGTATGTTTGGATAAAGGATTTGAGGAGGGATTTCTAAACTCTAAGGTGTGTTTAAATTTTATTTTGTTCACTTTTCTCATCCTATTTTCTTTCCCTCCTCATATCCTGGATCCAAACATGCAAATGTGAAGTTCAGCTAAAAGACAGTTCAATCTAACTCAATGACTCATTTGTGAAAGATTTTAACAGACATGATTGATATATTCAAAATTTGAATGCAGGTCTTACTCGCACTGAAGGGCAGAATGGGTAAATCAATTATGTCCCAATGGCTACAGAAAAATGGAGTGATGACACAAGAAGCATCCGAATGGAACGAACTGACAGAAATCCTTCAGGAGCTCATTCAAGTACAATGTTCACTGAGAGAATGTTCAAAAGATGAAGCATTAAGTATTCAAGAATTGAATGATTCAATTTTCATCATAGTTGTTGAGATTGGCCTACTTGACTTGAATGATGATAGATGGAGGCAACAGCTGAATTTCCTCGACAAATACAGTAGGAAAGCAAAGTTTGCGTGGATACTAAACATTGACACCTCCAACACCATTAAGATGGAGCTTCGTCGCAAAGGGCATCTATTGATGGTTAATAGGCCGCTATACAAGGCGAAAATGATTCAGATTTTGGATGCTGCAATACAGGAGAGAAATCTTGAGCAGAAAAAGAAAATGAACGCTTCAAAAGATGATTTGCATGAATGTCTTGAAATCGATCACATTCAGTATGAGGCAGACAGTTCTTATGATTCTGATAAGTCAGAAATGGGAAGTTCTAACTCCATAAGTGAATTGTATAGTAAAGAAAAGCGAAGAGAATGTGAACATGATGTTAGGACAAATGAAAATCCAAGTAGAGTTGGTAATGAACAGAAATCTCTTGGAGGCATACGTATATTGTTGGCGGAAGATACACCAGTTCTTCAGAGAGTTGCAACAATAATGCTAGAAAAGTTAGGGGCTACTGTAGTAGCTGTGGGAGATGGAATGCAGGCAGTGGATGCTCTAAAGATCACACCAACTGTGGATGATTGTACACGAGGATCTTCCTTGGAAGATGCAATAAAAACTGAAGTAGAGGAATGCTCTCCGTACGATTTGATCTTGATGGATTGTCAAGTAAGATATTAAAAAACAATGCAATAGTTTCTTTGATGTTTGTGTTTGTTCATATGTTATTAGAAACAAAAAAAGGAGAGAAAAAGCTTGGATTAGGATTTTGGAGGTGTTTTTTTTCTTTCAGCAGCAAAATTATAGAGAAATGATAGTTGCACAGAATTAAAACATATAAAATGCACTGAAAGTCTGATGGCTGAGATTTATCATGAATGTTATGTGAGTCATTCTTAAAATAAATGTAAATCTCACAATACTCTTTCTATGTATTTTTTGTGTTTTAATTTTGTACATGTAGCATTGCCAAGCAAAAAAAATATTTTAAAATTTTAACCTAGTAGAGCACAGTATTTTTCTTCTAATATTGAGCATCCTACAATTCTGAAGAAAAAGAAAAAGAAAAAAAACAGAAAATATTACGCCATGAATTCTTTTAAACTAGATTACAATTTATGGCTAAATTCTACCTTTATGTGTTGAACCAGATGCCAAAGATGGATGGCTATGAAGCAACCAAGGCAATCAGGAAATCAGAATTGGGAACTGGTTCACATATCCCGATTGTTGCACTGACAGCGCACGCAATGTCATCGGATGAAGCCAAATGCTTGGAGGTAGGTATGGATGCTTATCTAACGAAACCAATCGACTGTAAGCTGATGGTGTCTACCATCCTTTCGCTAACTAAAAAGGATCGCCTAACTTTTGTTCCAAGCAGTGGAATGGCACAATTTTACTCAAACCAGAGCTAACATCTTGGTTATGCAAAGTCTGCATGTAGAAAATAATAATAGCATACAGGGAAAGCAGCTAATACAAGGTGATGTTAACTTCTTGCAAACATGCTTTTGTTTCCAAATCAAGGAATTTGAAACAAGAGCCATCAATGTATATGACTTTGGGTCCTAATGAAAGTGTGATTTTGGGGAAGCATACAAATTTGTGGAAGCTTATGTTTGGTGTGTAAGTTGTTGGAAACCAGTGCCATATGTGCTATCTGTTTTCTGGTTTTAATTGATTTCCTGTTTCTGTTTTTCTTCTTACAAATAGAGTAGCACATATAGCACTGGTTTTCCAACATAAGTAATGCACTAGCAGCTATGTGTCCCAGGATATAGGTGAAGAATAAAGAATTGTAATCACACGCACACACAAGAACACAAGATTTACGCGGTTCACCTCAAAACTAGAGCTATATCCACCATCTCTGTGGTTTCACTACAATCACAAATAAAGGTTACACAAGAATATAAAGGTAGCACCCTCATTTACATATATATATAGAAATTAAGACAACATGTCACAAGTACAAAAATACCAAAAATACCCTTCTCAGGATCACGCTAACCCACCACAATGTAGCACACTGACATGGACAATGGACACCAATTTGATGGTAAACAGTGGTCTTCCCCAAAAAGAAAAAAGAAAAAAAGGGGACACTGCCACAGCTGGTCCGAGCCTGAAGGAAGCTAACATAAAATCTGAGTTGAAAACTAGTGATTTTTTGATAGACAGCTTTTTGAACCTTCATTGAAATGTGATGTAGGTAATATCTAGTACAGTTTGTGTGCCATTTACTAAAGCTGATTTTATTGTTTTCTAATATTTCTTGTGAGATCAAATTGATAGAAATAAACATTGTATATATACAATTCCAGTGTTGGTTTGCAAACAAATGCATAAATTCAACAAGTTGACCTCCAGATGGTTATTGGCTGAGCAGTTAAGTGCAGGTTTTAGCAAAGCTACAAACAACAATGGTGGATGAGCAGTTAAGTGCAGGTTTGAGCTAAGCTGGCTAACAACAATGGTTTTATTCATTCTAATGCTGGTTTGAGCCAAGTGCAACAACAAATGCTAAAGCTGGTTCTACTCTTGTTAAAATGGTAGTAGTAATTAGGATACCATCAAACTATTGAACATATTATTGTCTACTCTAATATCATATTAAATTGTTGATCACTAACCCATCTAAAAGCTCAAGCTATTAGAGAGGAGGACAAATTTATTATTTATATTACATTCTTAACACAAATAGGACAATTGAGAGGAGGACAAATTTATTATTTATATTACATTCTTAACACAAATAGGACAATTATAATATCAGTATTTACCTTTGATAAGAATTGACTTCTAACCTCTTAAATATAAATATATGAGTGGACTTATAACATGTTCAACAATATTTTCACAGCCCATCAAAGTGATAATCCAAATCACAAATTGCCAATATAAAATGTGAAAAGAAACAAAAAAAAAAAAAATGAAGATGCAATGCTATGGTGGAGAAAAGAAACAAAAAAAAAAAAAAAGGAAGAAGCAATTCTATGGTGAATACCCTAGTCTATTCTTAGACCGCCCATGACTGTATAGTGAATACTTTCAATTGAGTGGCTAGATAGAGGATGTATTGTGTTGGGTGAGACTTGGGAAATGTGTTGAATTTTCTTCCATGACTAATTATTCAATTTGATATGATTTTATTAATATTTATAAATAATATTTGAGTGACAAAAGTAAATAAAATTTATGTATTAAATTTTGAATATTACGTGATATGTCATTAATGTCATTTAGTAATAAGATGATATTCAAAATTTGATATCCAAATTTAATTACTATAACAATATCTTTTACCAATAAATAAATATTGTCACACAGTAGAAATATGAGAATGAATGAATAAAAGAAAAGATCAACATTAACATAACACTAGAAGAAAATATGTGATTTAAATCAAATAACAACTTTAAACAAGATTGAATGGCAAAAATATATTGGCAAACTCCACCTTATCTTATGGTTTGTTTCGCATATATATTATTCTTATTATTTAGAAATAATCACATAATTTTTTATGGTTTTGTATTTTGAAATATATCATCAAGCATTTTATCCAAATTTACAAAAAGTGTAAAACATGTGTGAGGACATAAGGGTCTATATACTCATTTATAAATGTCAGAGAGTAAATCACACGTGAAGTAAAGCACATAAAGTTAAAGTGAATTTTTTTCTACCAAAAAAATTATGAAAATATTTGTAAGTTGCACAATGAGATTATTTTGGACAAGGATAGTTTAGTCATTTTGCTTTAAGTTATTAAGAGTGGTGTTATTAGCACCCCATAAATTATTTGGGTGTCTCTATTTACACACCACATTTTGTCTTAAAGCATACCATTAATTGGTTATTTTTTATTACAATAATGACCTTACCTAAAATGACCAAAATGACCCCAAAAAAAATATCAATACACACCTTAGTTGAATACACAACATCCAAACTCTAACCCTAGACACCATTGTCGCAGCCGCTACCATTTTACCACCGCTTCTGTTCTATGTTGTTCGTGGAGTGGTATTGGAAAACCTCTTGCCTTTGCTAACAATAATGGAATTATTTGTACATGGACATGATTGGTGCCTTTTTTTTTTTGTAAATACAATGTTTTCTTCTCTGTTGTAATGTTGTTTAACCTAAAAAATATTTCTTCAACAACGATGTTCTTGCTCTGCTCATAGAAGAAAGAAGCAAATTTCTTATTGGTTTGAGGACAGTGGGTGCAATACGCAAATGGTCATCAAATTCTAAAAATGAAACAGAAAAACAATGAAGGATAAGTCCGTTCGGAAGTACAGAGTCGGACTATTGAATTTTGTTCGACACTAAAATGTCGAACATATTGAAGTTGTTCGACAGAAACACTCCAGACAAAGGTTAATGTTCAACAGACCATTGTCAAACAGTTCGCAAAATCAAACATTCATATACAATACTCATGGCAATGGAAAAACGTATATAAAACCCTCAAATCTAAGCAAAATGAGAATTCTCACCTACTGTATCTCTAATGTGGAGTTGTTTCTACCGGTGTCTTTGATGAAACAGATAATGGAGGGAAAGATGAAAGATCGTAGGTGGGGTGTGTGAGTAAGTAATGGTGAAGATAGGAAATATGGGTGGGGTGTGTGAGTAAAGGTAAAGATGGAAGACTGTGGTGCGTATTGAGCAAATTTTGCATTTATCAAATTACTAAAGGTATGCCTTGAATAATGGTGTGCCTTGAAATGAAATGTGGTATGTAAATAGAGGCACTCGAATTATTTTGCATCCCCCATTTCTTTGGGCCCCCACTTATAAATTTTGAAACCCTCCAAATTTCTTTTTCCCCCCAAAATAATACCAAAATTACCCTTGCGAAAATATTCTACCCATTGAATGTACACCTTCAAATCCCAAAAACATCCCTCTTCCGAAAAACCCTAACAAAATCCACCAAGAAGAAGAAGAGCCAATGTGATTACTGTTTCTGCTGCCTCATCCACCTTTGTCACAGTTAGTATACTCTCTATATATAAACATAAGTTTTTAGTTTTCTCATAATAATTTCTTCTCTTGCAAGAAAAAAATTATAATAATTGGTTTGGTTGGTTTTGTTGGTAGATATTATAAAATTGTAAGTTCAGCAGAGAACTACGTAACAATATTATTAAAGCTGCGCAATGAAGGAATAACTTTTGAACCTGATAATGAATTTGGGCTACTTCCAATAACATCTACAAGTGTTAAAAATTTTGACTATTCAATGTGTTAAGAAATTTTCATGTTTAGACCTGCATTCCCAAACATTACTTATTTTTTTGAGAATGCCTTCCTGAACAAATAAGTAATGTTCGGGCCTGTATTCTCGAACTTGAAAAAATGAAAACTTCTACAAGCGTTAACAATTTTGACCATTCAATGTGTTAAGAAAATTTCATGTTCGGGCCTACATTCCCGAACATTACTTATTTGTTTGGAAATACCTTACCAAACAAATAAGTAATGTTCGAGCCTGTATTCCTAAACTTGAAAAAATGAAAACTTCTACAAGTGTTAACAATTTTGACCGTTCAATGTGTTAAGAAATTTCCATACTCAAACCTGCATTCCCGAACATTACTTATTTGTTCGAGAATGCCATCCCGAACAAATAAGTAATGTTTGGGCTTGTATTCCGCCAAAGGGTTACCACTATTACTGTGATACCCCTATTCCGTGGTATGCTAATTGGTCATTAATTTGAGTATGATTATGGCCCTGTTTGGTACAGCTTAATTTCAGCTTATTTCAGCTTTCAGCTTAATTTAAGCTATTTTGATATGTTCGGTTTAGCTTAACAATACAACTTATAACTTTTTGTAAGTCAGAAATCAACTTATTCTTTGAGTGGGGCAGGAGAAGCTTAATTTATAAGTCAGAAATCAGCTTATGTTCATATTTATAAACTGTAAGCTGTTAAGGTATAAGCTATAAGCACTTTCCCACAGCTCTACCAAACAGGGCTTATGTGATTAATATGATTTTGTGTGCCATTATGTGAATATATGCGGTTTTGAATTTCTATCTGTTCACCGTAGGAATATCTGTTTGATTATCTACTTTGAAAATTTAATTGAAGGTCTTATCGGCCATAGAACCCGAAATTGATTACGTCATTGTGATTGGCATAATTTTTAGAGCCTACGGTGAAGTTTAATTGAAAAATTGATTCGGACCAGATTAAATTGATTAAACTGATGAATTAGAGCCCAATTATTTATTATTATTAAATAAATATTAGTGAGGCTTGTTGTATGAAGGCACTGCACTCTCCTTTAACTCTTTTGAACTCAAAAATCTGAGTTATACAATTGTGAGAGAGAGAGAGGGCCGGCCATAGTGAGAGAAAGGGAGAGAGATTGTGCAATTTTGGCTCAAAGCTTGGAAACCTTGAAGATTTCCCAAGAATTTGTTATAGATTGTGAGAATCAAGACTCCTAGGTGAGTATCTCATGGATTTTGTTTGGAATTTATAGATTCAAGGTTGATTAATGGCCAAGAGTATGAATTAGTTTGATTATAAGGAAATTGAGTTGAATTTGTTGAATTTGAAGTCATAGAACACATGCATGTAGAGAGTTACTATGGATTTTCATGTTTGAGCTTAATTTGTGTAATCTATGTTGAAGTTTGATTGAAATCCATGTGTATGACCATTTCTTCACCAAATAAGTTGTGAATAATGTGTATTTCTCACATGCAAGAATAGATCATGAAAGTGTAAGCTTTGCATGTTTGAATTTGATATGTTGGTGATGAATTTGGATTAATTTGAGACATGCATGTAGGTAATACAAGAAATTGAGCTCCATGATGATGTGTTTTGGTGTTTATATCATGTTAGTACAAGTATATGTGAAATTGGAGCCATGATATGCAAGAAATGTGGTTGAAATGTCAAATTTGAGCTCAAGAACACAATCTGGAAAAACCCAGAAATTTGATGTCCGCTTGAGCGGGGAAACCGCCGCTCGAGCGTGAATTTCGTGCTCCTAGTATTTTCTGCAGACCATGATGTCTGCTCGAGTGGGGAAGTTCACGCTCGAGCGGGGAGCTTTGTGGAATGAACTTCCATTCGAGCGTCTAAGTTAACGCTCGAGCGTAAAAATAATACATCCAGTACTTTTTGCAGACATGGTGTCCGCTCGAGCGGGAAGCCATGTAGAGAGGCCTTCCGCTCGAGCGCCAAAATGAACGCTCGAGCGTAATTTTCACCTATCCAGTACTTTTGCAGGCCTCTAGGGTCTGCTCGAGCGGGGAAGTCCACGCTCGAGCAGGGACCCTGTTTTCTGAAATTTTGAAAATGCATTCTGTGTTTTGTTTTCTGTTCTCTTTCATTTCTAAGTACTCTTAGGCATGCATTAAGCATTGTAATTGAGTTAAAGAGATAAGAATAAAGCCTAAAGAGGAAAATGTGAATTTGGGAACGGATTGAATGGTTGTTGACCCTTTTGTGTTCATGGACTGTGTAGAGTCGAGCTCCAGGGCAAACCAACCAACCGATCACTGTGAGTAATATCGATATTTGAAACTTATCAGTTATCCAATTGCTTATTTCCTTATAAGCCTTATGAGTTTGCCAGTTTGAATTATGGGCAAATGTTTGATACGAGAATGAATGGGCCAAAGGCCGTTTCAACATGAATGAATGGGCCAAAGGCTGTTTTGACATGAACGAATGGGCCAAAGGCCGTTTTGACATGAATGACTGGGCTAAAGGCCGTTTTGACATAAATAAATGGGCCAAAGACCGTTTTGACATGGATAGATGGGCCAGAGGCTGTTTTGACATAAATGAGTGGGCCAGAGGCCGTTTTGATAGAAATGAAGAATAAATGTTAAATAAAAATGTGAATTGGGCCCAAGGCCGTTCGGAGTATGTTGTTCTACATATCGTTTGTGTCTTCTTATTTGATATTATTCATTGGGCTATCGCTCACGCTCATTCATGTGTTTGTAGGTGAGCCAAGAGAGGTCCAGACCCAGCCCCAGCGAAGTCCATGTGCAACAACCGAGTTTTAGAGAGTCAACCCATGTGTCTCACGCATGAGACTTGCCTTCGCCTTTTGTCATTTTATTTTATGTTGTCATATTGGCGAAGTCTTTGTATATGTTGTATATAGTTTTCATAGGTTGACTTAGTTTTTGAATGATCATGTTTGTATAGAACTTATGCTACTGCATTTCTGTTATGAGTTATTAATGTATATGTGTTTGGTTGTATGGATGTGCCACGTAAGCACATCTCTATGGACAAAGTTTTGAACTGCTTCCGTTTGGCCCCCAATATCTCTGTTAAAAATACATTTGTTTTGGTTTGAGGCCGTAGGTAATCTCATGATTACTGGCCGGTTATGTCCTTAACCCACGGGGGCGGGTTCGGGTCATGACAATTACCGCCGAAATATTGCCATTGCTGGAGAAGTGTAGGTAGTCAAATGGTTGCCACTGCTACCGTCGGAATATTTCCGCCAAAGGATTTTCAAGGTTTTAAGAGTAGGCAGGTTTTGAATGTGAGATTTTGGGAAGATGGATGGGTGGTGATGGAGGTGGGTACTCTCATAAATCCTAATTCGTGATGTAGTGTGTGTAAGTTTAATTGTGAGATGGGGTGTCCCAAAATTAATGATGTCCTTTTTAGTAATTTTATTTGAGGTTATGATTGTAATAAAAAAAAGTTAGAAATTGAGGGGTCCAAAATAATTTATGGGTTGCTAATAGCAGCACTTGTTATTAATGGACTTAATGATACACTTTAGTTTACAAATCGCAAATGAGGTTATGTATTTTTTTTCCTTCTCCCGAATGACAAGCATGCGAAATTGCAAGGGTTTTTTTGGTGAAAATCCTCTCCTATTGGCCTTTTTTTTTTGTGTAAAGGACATGGAATAAATTAATGCAGTCAAAATCCCTCAGAATTAAAAAATTAAAATGAAAAGACAGGACAAGAATGCCCTTGCATATATATGGGCAATAGTAAGCAGTTGAGTTGTTTGTCTCTCTTGTTCTTTTTCTTCATTTGAAAACTATCAAAAACCCTTCTTCAAAAGTTGTCAATTGAAACAAAAATTGAAGTATAATAAGAGATTTTCAAGTGCCATTGTCGAATGTTTCAAAATTATTGAACGATTTCATCATCTTCTACTAGTCGTTACTTCCGAATCAACCATCACAAGTCAGAGAAACTCTATTTCTTCACAACTCTCTCTTTCTCCACCAACTCTACCATCGATGGTTGTTCATCGCCTCCACCATCTCCATCATCGGCTAGCATCGCTCATCCTCACCGTTGGCCGGGGACTACTATTTTTACCATCAACCATCACCATCTCAAATTTGATGCCATTGAACTCATATTTGAGATCAATAACTTCAAATCTGAGATAAAATGACCTCATATATGTCAAAAAAATTATAAATTGAGATATTACAATGAAAAATCGAGAGTTTTTTGTTTATTTGTTCATAAATCTAAACTAAAATTCGACTATAATTCCTTTATCTAGTATGTACTCTGTTTTCGTAACGGTAAAATTTTATTCTGGTTAATGAAAATAAAGTTTGATTGCTGATTTGCTTAACGATAGTAAAATTTTACTTTGAATCATAGTAAAATTTACTCTGATTTAGAATTAAATTTTACTCTGAATGACGCTACGATTTCGCCTTACTTTGATAATAACAGTAAAATTTTACTGTCTACGTCAATTTCGACAGTATTTTGTTCTATTTTTTTAATAAATTTCATAGTAACCTAGATCTTGTTTGATAAATCTTGATGAGATGATACCAAAAATACTAATTTTATTAAAAACTGACATCTAGATTAAAAATTATATCATTTTAAACTTTAAAAATAAAAATGGCACATATGTTGGTACAGGCTGGATATGTTTTACAGTAGAACTCATACTAAACCTGTATTGTTTCTGACAATAACATTTTATTGCCTTTCATAGTAAAATTTTACTCAAAACCCTCACTTCTATTGAACAAGCTCCATTACAAATTCTTTTACATGAAACTAATCAAGAACATTAAAAAAATATATTAAAGTGTCAAATTGAATTACAAAGCAACTCAGTGAATTGGATAGACAACCATTCAACAACACAGTAAAAATGGACTATTATTGCAAAAGTACTACATTATTTTTATACTTTTATTACAAAACAATAATGTCTTTCATGACAATATCTCCTTACAAGTCTTCTTGTTATGACTGTACTTCTTGCATCTACCACACTACACTCGTCGAATGTTCTCACCCCTAAATGGAATCGTATTCTTTCTTGGCCTATCAGGTAGCTTCTTACAAATTGGATGAAAGACAACAAGATCATCCACAGTTATCTGTAGTCTTTGCATCGACAAAACCAATTGCAAGAGTCAAAAAAATATGAAAGAGATAACATTTTACAATTAGTAAATATAATACACAAAAGGTCAAAAAAGTAAAATAGTAAAATGTTAGTATAATTAAAAGTAAAAGTTTACTCTGAAAATAAGTAAAATGTTACTCTGAAATTAAGTAAAATTTTACTTTGTGAGACACTAACAGTATCATCTACCTTGATCCCCATCCTTCGTTGTAGTTGATAACAATGTGCTTTTATATTTACCATTCAGGAAAGTACCATCAATAAACAATAAAAATCGGTTAAATCCTTCATTGTGTAGTTTGATACAACCTTCAACACAATGGTACAATCACCGTAATTGCATAACAACATAAGAGGTGGAATCATTTTTCAAATCTGCAATCAGTTGACAGTAAAAATTTACCGTTAATCAAAGCAAAATTTTACTATTACTACGAGTCCAAAAAAAAATCACAGAAGCACATAGTACCAAAGTAAATTTTATTGTTATTTTATCAAATAAAAACAAAAAAATATAATACCAGAATAAAATTTTACTTTCATGTTATCAATTAAAAACAGATCACATAAACCCAGAGTAAAATTTTACTCATAAACAAAAACAGAGCGCATAGTACTAGAGTAAAATTTTACTCTCTTTCTATCAAACAATAACAAAGCACATAGTACCTGAGGAAAATTTTATTCTCATTCTATCAAACAAAATCAAATCATACACAATAAAAATAAAAATAAAAATAAAAACAACTAATCAACAAATCAACATACTTGATAAAACTCGAACAATAATCAAACACGTGGTCGAAGCAAAACTTCTAAAACTCGATCAACACTCTTAGTCTTGATGAAACTCTCAAAATTTGATATATATTTGTGCAGATTTGAAATATAATCTCTCATTGATACAGATTTCAAGATTCCCAAAGAACACGTGATCGAAGCAAATTTGGTGAAATCATCGGTGGCGAATTGTCTATTGTTGATAGACAGCGAGATCATCAGCGACAAAATCTTCAAATTTTGAGTTCATCTTCATTGATTAGATTTTTAAATATATGAGATCAGTGTATATATCGATCAGATTTTCAAGAAGTGAGTTTTTAAGTATGTAGGTTTTTTTAGTTGTAGGATATTATTGAAGAAATTTTTTTTTGTGTTTGGGAAGATAGTTGGGTTTTTTTGAGGTTGGATGTGATGTTTGTGAGAGAAAAAGTGAAATGATTATGGGATTGGATGTGATATTTTGTTTGGATGTGTTTTTTTTTTTTTTTTTGCAAAAATTTTGTATTTTTGTGAAAAAAAAAAAAAAAAAACCCAAGTCCCAAACTTCCCAAACACCACTTATACATGGAAGGGCAATATTGTCCCAAAAAAAAAAATTATAGTGTCTTTGTTGAGCTACGTGCCTGTTTCTCAGGGACTTTTTGAAGCTAAACTAGTTATACTGCTACTTACCCTAAAAAAAAGTTCAAAAAGGAGATTTTACCAAAAATTCCAAATTGCGATGGTGTATGGTTGGGTTTCTTTTAAGTTCAAAAGGGCACATAAAACCATCACAAGTATTGTTTTGATGACCCAAACTATTAATTTTTGTAAGACTTTTTGTATATGAAAAAAATTATATCAATTTCATAATCATAATTTTTTTTATTTTTATCGTGTTTTGTCTAAAAAAAATAAATTAGATGGTGTATTTTCAACAATATACTTATCGTCTTATTTTTTCATAAACAAACGCTATAAAATAAAAAAGTTACGATTATCAAATCAATCTAATTTATTCCATGAATGATAATAATATTGATTGAGTACTCTACAAAATGAACAATTCAAATTATCGAAACAAAAACCATAATTATCCACAATTATAAATTAAAATTTTAACTTGAGATAAATGTAACCTTTACCTAATCCATCCTAAATAATTATGACAGATCTCTGTTTAGCATAGGTATTTTTTTATTTTTTGTTTTGGTGTGAAGTAAAAATGTTTGGGTTCTCATTATTAATAACTAATTATATAGATAGCCATAAAGAATCACCATATTGACAAAATAGTCCCAGAAACTTTGGATGGCTTGTCCCCCAAGCCCACCACGATCGTCCTCTTCTTCACAAGAAAACAAAAACCTTTAAAATAGTCTCACAACACAAATCAAGCACCAGCCGAGAGACAAGCAGGCAAGCATGGCGAGGTACGACAGAGCAATCACGGTGTTCTCGCCGGACGGCCACCTCTTCCAAGTCGAATACGCCCTCGAAGCCGTCCGCAAGGGCAACGCCGCCGTCGGCGTCAGAGGCACCGACACCATCGTTCTTGGCGTCGAGAAGAAGTCCACCGCCAAACTCCAAGACTCCAGGTCCCTTCTCATTTCATTTCTTGCTTTTCTACCTCACTGCTCTTCCTGCTCTCAGTTAGGGTTTTGTATAACTTGTCTAACCTAGATTTGATCTCCGGAGATCGTGTTCTATCGGAATTTGTGGAAGCAATTGTGTTTTTTTTTTTTTGGTTATGATTTGCTTTTCGTTTCAATTTCATTGAATTTGTTTTCTTCAGCCTTAAGTTGGATCCGATCGGTTCACAGTGCAAGAATTTACTCTCAGAACTAGTATTAGACGGTCTCTTACGGGAAAATTCTTCATTCTTCCCTCTTGACACAAAAAATATATTTTTCTTGTAAATTGATTTTACACAGAAAAAATGTTTTTATTTTTGTTTTTTAGTGTTTAGTTGATACTTGAAACAAATGTATTTTATTGCTTAAAAGAGAAATTTTGATTCAATAAAGGGTCGTTTATGATTTTTTAGTGAGTTAAAATATTTATTTGAAAAGGCTAAATGTGTTGAAAATGTACTGAGTTACAGAATTTTTGAAGGTAAGTCATTTTTGGAAAAATGATGAAAAATATTTCCTTACTTTTTGTTCAACCAAACAACGGAAAATGAGTAAAATATTTTTGACAAAAACATTTTACTTCAAAACAGATGGAGCCCTAGTGTTTTGAAGTTTCAGTAGTGTAAAGATGGACTTGAAGATTGCAGTAGATTGGTTGTTAATGTTAATGGCATTTTGGTAAACATATTGTCAATAAAATGGTGACTGCAGATTTAAGTATAGTTGCACTGAATGACAAAAAATAGAAATGAAATGAAATACATAGGAATGAGGACCCATTTGAAAATCGTTGTTAGGACAAACTGTTTGGCTCATTTAATGATGTAAGGAACATAAGGATTGATTTCAAATCATAGATAAAAACACACTAGACTAGTTAACTGTCCTGTAGAAATGCGAAACCCCAAAAAATCTCTCTATATTTCTGTCACGCATGCTGCTATACATATTGCATCCTAATTTGTAATTTGAAGGAGTCAATGGGAGAGTTGGCACTGATTTTTCTGGAATAGTTTGTGTCAATGTGGATATGGAAGACATGCTTAAGTATCGGAAGTTGGATGTTGTATGTCTCCAAAAGAGGTTTCCAAAAGTTGCCAACCAGTGGTAGTAGTACCCAACTTTCTTTCTCCAGTAGGAGGTCTTATATCCCATTTAGACATGTCCCCTAACTGGAGCACTGATCAAATGCTGTTCCTCTATATTTGGGATGCATTTGTGCTATGCATTTTCTTTTCTTTCTTTTTTTACTTTTTCACATGATCTGATTACAAGATGCTTCCTCAGATTTATCATATTCTTACAATTTTCATTTACTTTGTCTTGCAGATCAGTTAGGAAGATTGTAAGCCTGGATGATCACATTGCAATGGCCTGTGCTGGGCTTAAAGCAGATGCTCGTGTTCTTATAAACAGGGCACGTATCGAATGTCAAAGCCACAGGCTTACTGTTGAGGATCCTGTAACTGTTGAGTATATTACACGTTACATCGCTGGTCTTCAACAGAAGTACACACAAAGTGGTGGTGTGAGGCCATTTGGTCTTTCAACTTTGATTGTGGGCTTTGACCCTCACACTGGTGTGCCATCGCTATATCAGACAGATCCATCAGGTACTTTTTCTGCATGGAAAGCTAATGCAACTGGGAGAAACTCTAATTCAATGCGAGAATTTTTGGAGAAAAATTATAAAGAAACTTCTGGGCAAGAAACTGTCAAACTTGCAATTCGCGCCTTGCTCGAAGTAAGTATCCTTTGGCTCATATTTTTATATGTAGTTGTTCCAAGTTATAATTTCTTTTGACTAATAATGTGCCTTTTTTGCTTTATTATTTCAAGTTTATTATGCAGTTGGTGCTGATCTTTTTATTCTCTCAAGTGTATTTTTGTACTGTTTAAAATGAAGGACGTTGTGTTTTTTGAGTTTTTCGAATTTTTTAATATGTGGTACTTTGTAGGTTTCTTTAGCATGCATAGTCTTAGCATCCTGAGGGGCCATTGCTTGGTGCAACGGTAAAAACTTGCACTAATCCGCATGAGAAAGCAATTTGGAATTTCAGGGTAGCCATTGTGTGCAAATAAAGTTGGAGGTTAGGTCTGTACATGGACTACCATTTAGCCCCCAAAGTGATTGGCTGCCATTTTTAATGGCATCTGTAAAGTATAGACTATAGTTAAGTGTGATATTTTCTTGGATCATTTTAATATGGGAATCGCCATCCTGCTAGATAATTGAGGTAGGTTTGGACAAAATACAAAAGTCTGTTCCTCTTATTGCAACATAAATGAGGGTAATTTTGTAATTCCAACTGTCCTCTCATTTTGATCCCTTTCACCACTTTCATTCTATGCATAAAAAGCATATTCCCTTCATTAGTGAATCACTTCTGGAAAAACCTTTTCTGCTGGAACCAAGTTCATCTCAGTGTCTTAATTGGACTTGGCACACTGCATAACCCTTCTAGTGTCAAAATCTTATGTTTAGAATTTCTGACTAATTTATGCATTTTGGGATTTTTGTGAGCCTCTTGAAGACCTAGTGGACTAGTACAATGCAGTCAAACTTCCTGGACAGAGACCTAAAATCATACAAAATATTTTATCTAATTGCAATGCCAAGATGTTTTGAATTGGTGAGAAATTAAAAATCAAATTGAAACCAATGAGATTAAATGATACTGTAGCTGTGATGTCATTTCCAGCTAGTTTATGAAATGAAGTTAATGAACAATCTTTGTTGTAATAAAAGTTCTGGAACTACTTCCCGTAGGAGTTAGGTGTTGAGTTGAATTACTAACATCCTATTTTACGGAATGAATTATCATGTGCATAGATGCAATGAGAAGGATATTGTAGTTGTGGTGTCATTCTCTGTGGATTAGATTAAGATGGCAGGATCTTTAAGAGAGATGAAATGCAGAACTGGAGGTTTCTTCAATGGATTTGATGTAGTGACAATATATTTCTTCGCTTTGATGCAAAATGAAGAAAACGGTCTATTTTCCGTCAACTAATTCTGGAGGGTTTGCATTAACATTGTGTAAGGAGTAGGACATTTATGCTAAAAAGGATGCAACACCTTATTATATCTCCGAATAACACAAGTTGGTCTCTCTCTCTCTCTCTCTCAATAGGAGGGGAATGTACTAGGGTTTCTCAGATCAGATTATACAATAACCACCTAGGCTGAATGAATCGCAATCCAAATCTTACTTCACAGCTTAACAATAGGCTAAATGACTTAGATGTCCCCAGTTTAGCATCTTCACCAGAGAGTTATACGCACACCATCTTGTTGGCAATGTCAAGTTAGATCTCCCGTATAGTCATTGAGTTTGAGTGCTTTATATTTTTTATTTTCGTAATGTTTAGGAGACAATTGGGGAAAATTCTACTACATAACCCCACCTCCTCCTCTTTTGCTTTCTGTTGATCCCTATTCACCAATAGGTGCATCAAGGGTCTCTATACTAGTATACTGTCTTTATTTTTCATAACCACCATAATGCTTTGTTCAGGTGGATCAGTTGGATTGATCATCTTGATTGGGCATTAAAGACAAAAAATATCTCCACAATACAATAGTAAAAATAATGAGAGTTAATGATTTTCAGTCTCTTTTTCTTAAGGAAAGTTTTGAGGATTACAAAATGAATGTCTAGGATGATTTCTAACTAGAATGGCATCAAGGCCTAACGGTCAGTCTAAAATGGGGTTCTGCACAATTTTGCTCATCCAACTCATTCTTTCATTTTTTATGACGTGGTATAAATTACTGTATTTTAGGCTTGTACATGTGCAAGATCTTGAGTATCAAAGAAAACAGTTAACAGTCAGCAGTTATATAATTTGTGCCTTCGAATTCCTTTTTCTCACTGCATACAAGACAAGTGTAATATATTCATCTTTCTTGTATAATATTCAGCAGCAGTCAGACACACTTGGTGCTCATTGATACATTGTTTTAGACCATTGATTGATGGACTGACTCTTCAATAGCCTTTGATTAAGAAGACACCTTAAAGGTCACATATAAATTAAATTGTATTATTCAGATTAAAAAATTTAAAGGTACTATTTTTACTTATAGTTTACTTGTAGTTTGGGAAAGGCTTACATGGCTTACAATTAATTGATTGGGATGCTGATGTAGTAGGTGTCAATTTTTTTGTTTCAGCAAAAAAGAGCAGGTTGTAACATTTGGTTAACATTTATAGTTGGCAAGGCCTCTCTAGGTGAAAGCAATGAAAAGCGTACTTACTATACAGCTTTAGATACACAAGTTATCAATCAATTCAAAAAATGATATGGAGGGCAATGATTACTATGTTCAAAATACTGTACTGTGCCCCTAGTTGCTGTACTCACTTGGAGCAACCAGTACCTTACAAGGAGAGGGAGGGAGGGAGGGAGGGATGTCCAATTCTTTCCTTCATTTTTTCCCCTTCATTTATGATATTTACATGAGCATATAGCTCTAGACAGAGTGAAATGACAAAAAAGAATTAACGTAGCCGGCTCCATGAGACTTAGGGTCCGTTTGGGAACAGGCTAATTTAGTAACTTTTTGGCTATTTGGCTAAAATATGAGCTAAAAAAAACTAGTATGTTTGGGATGACTTTTTGACTTTTTACGAAAAGATGTGCAAAACGTAGAGAGAAAAGAGAATATTTGACTTTTTGGTATGGGTTGTTGGCTTTTTGTCTAATTTAGTAACTTTTTGACTTTTTGACTAAAATGGAGGGTTTCCAAACGAGGCCTTAGTTTGGTTATTTGGGAGAGAGGTATTCTTTTTGTTTTGTAATTTCTCTTTTTTTAGTTTTTTTTCTCATTTGTTATCTTGTTTCATTGCATCATGTGTGTTGTAATCTTTGAAAGCTGGGCACCACCAAATACGTTATACTGAAGTTAGGATGGTTGATTGATCTTGAGCAAGTGGATTTATGTTGTTCAGAATTTTAAAGTGTCAATTATCATATGCTGGATTGCACATTTGGCTTGAGGACCTTTAAGACATTGGTCAACTGGCTAACATATGGTTTGAAGGGGTGGGGTGAATAGGGGAGAGGAGATTTTTGTGGGTCAGATGAAAGCTCTTCTCGTTGGGATAGTAGAACAATTTGGTACAGAATAGTTGTACTTGACATGTGGCACTTGCAGATCCTTGTGGCCCAAACTCTGTTTGAATCCTGGTGATTATAACCACCGAGTGATGCCTTGAGCATTATGTTACGATGCTAAAACTTTTGTGAACCTTGTGTTTATACTTCTGAAGTATGTTTATTGCATTCAGGTTGTTGAGAGTGGGGGAAAGAACATTGAAGTTGCTGTGATGACGAAGGAGCATGGTCTGCGGCAACTTGAAGAAGAGGAAATCGACGCCATCGTTGCTGAGATCGAAGCTGAGAAAGCAGCTGCTGAGGCAGCAAAGAAGGGCCCTCCCAAGGAAACATAATTCTGTTTTTTCTTTGTTCTTTTCCTTTTGCCAATGGTACACCATTCTGATAATTTCGCAACTTATTGGGGTAACATTATGTTTTGTCAAAGTCTTATATTCTAGATGGTGATGTGGATTAGAATGATATCAGTTGATATTTCTGTTGCAGTATCGCTGTCAAGTCTTTTATATATTCCCCTTATTTAATGGCTTGCGGTCTGCCAATTGATCTTTTAATTTTGACTCAGGATTGATAAAACAAGAAGCGGCATTTCTAATTTTAATTTTAATTTTATGGGAAGTTTGAACTATATTCTGGTGTTGTACCCGAGTGGAGCCTCACATAAATCTTCAGATTGCCGTGATTTGATTGGAATGTCTCTCTACTTTTTTGGTATAAAAATCTTGTATTTTTAAGGGGAAATCACGAGACGGTGGTAATTCTAAAAAAATTACACGATTTTAATCATTAAAATTTATAATGTTTATTATGAATCTATAATTATTTTCAAACATACCACTGATTTGTTGTTTTTCTTATTTTTAAGATCTGTCTGGTCTGCTTCTTCTAGGCGTAGAGTAGGGAGAGGGACATATGACATCAATTTTGATGAGAATCCTATATTATATGCACCATATTATAAATTAGTGTGATTTTATTATAAAATTTTATAATATCAATCACTAAATACGTAATCTTTTTATAAATTGATATAACAAAAAATATTATAATCAAGTCATAAATTTTTGTTACATGAATTATAAAATTTTAGACGTTTTGTTATGTTAATTTGTAGTGATATTACATATTTTATGGTTGATTTTATGAAATTTTGTGTTAAAATAACGTCAATTTATAATAAGATAAATATAATACACACCCTTTCCAAATTTAATACTCAAAATTACCATGTGTTTTTTTATTATTTTATTGTGTGATTTCAAAGTGAATTAAGTTTATTACAAGGAAAGTGATTTTTAAATATAAAATTTATAAAAAAATAAAAAATAATGTGTGCTAATGGTATTTGTGAAATTAGAGAAACAATCTTGAATATTTTGATTAAAAATCAAAGAATCAGAAGAAGCCAACTCATATTATACAAAAATTATGTACAAACTTTCTATTTATATATGTTACTCTTATTATAATAGTAATAATTTGACAGATAAAGTAGATTTTTTATTTTTAAATGTAATATTACCACATAATTTGAACCTCCATGTTCAACAGTTTGTTTTAAAAAACTCTTTAAATGTTTTTTTATTTTTTCAAAAGCCAAAATAAAGTTTTGTTTTTAATGTAATGTTACCAAACAAACGGGGTCTCCTGGCGCGCCGATCCCATTACAAAAATCGCCGCGAAAATGCGGCAGTTGTGTTAGAATTTATAAAAAGAGACTCCGAAGCTGAAAATATTTTCAGACTATCATCGATCCGAGTCTCAGACCATGAACGAAGATCAAGAGGTCAGAGCTTTACTCATAATCAGTTTTCTTCTTCTTCTTCTTCTTCTTGTTCTGATTTCTATTTCTATTCTATGTAGTGAATGTATATATGTATGTGTATGTGGGTGGTTTATTAGGGTTTGGATCTTCAAATTTTAATCTTCATACATTTTCGGTTTATCTAATTGTAATAATGTCTTCCAATATGGTTCAGTTTTCAGACGTGTAACCCTAGATGATAATGATGATGATGCTGTTAATGATTTGGGAAGGTTAGATAATGTTTGAGACAATTTGACCTCATTTACTAGTTGTGTTGTCGTTCTGCATCATGTTCGTCAGCATGTAGAGAAAAATTTCTCTTACTGATTTCAGTATCTTCGCAAATCATCTCCGTTCTACTGGTTGGATGTGTGTGCTTGAGCTGTTGGAGATTAACTTGTATCAAAAAAATTATGATAAGCACAAATCATGATATTTCTATATATTCTTCTATATCTTCCGATATCTGTAATAAATATAATCTTATCTCAAACACTCCCCTCAAGTTGGAACACAAAACAGTTGAGATTAAGTGTTGAACTCGAAAATAGGATGATCATTACAAACAGCTACAATGAAGTTGCTGAAAAACGACAATAATTGTAATAATATAATCTTATCTCCAACACGAGCAAGCATGTATTGTTGTCGAGTTGAGTTGAGATGTTCTATGTGTCTGCATGATTTCTTGAGTGTATGATAAGTTTGATGAGTTGAAGGAGATGGACGTGTGATCGGATCATAGAATTTGTCTTATAGCTTCTTTTTGCGGCTTCAGTTTCATCCCCTTTCAAGGCGATTTCATTGTTTTCATTAATAGGGATTAGCGGGAAGTGTGTGATTTGTAGTGATATGTGTTTTTTTTTTTTTTTTTTTTTTTTTTTTTTTTTTTTTTTTTCATTTTCTGTGTGGATTTCTCATCTCCTATTTTATTTTGTATTTGTCCCCTTAATTCTATCATAAAATTTCATGTTGCTGATCAAAAAAAGGGGATGAAGTCAGGGCTGAGTACCGGGCAATTGACAACAATTTGTAGTGTTATATTAATCTCTATTAAAATGTTTAATGCATATTTCCAAACTGCTTAGTAAGTCCTCTCTCAAATACTGGGAGCACTATAAATTTTGCTGTGATCGCTTCAGGGTTTGCGCCTTACTCCAGGAACTTTTTATCTGTGGATAGTGTAGGTGCTATTTTGTTCTGTTATTGCCTACCAGAGGGACAAAAAACTTGATCTGTTAATAAGTTGCTGTATAATACACGTTTTATCATTCATTCATTACCCAACTCCTTAATGTTCTACATTCATGTAACATTTGTGATATATTTTTCCTGAATGCACCTTTGGATTTGCTGTTTTTCGAAAGCTTTGACTTCTCATAAATTGTAACCTGATAAAACTGAAATTTTGACGTACATTTCAAGCTTTAAATTGTGTGTTATCCCCCTTTATTCTTAGCTACCAAATGGTGGTCAAGAGTTTCTTTAATTAGCAGTTTTGGAACTCTTTCCTTTCCATGCCATGGCCATCTTGCATTTTGTTGATCATCTACTACTGTTGGTGCAGTTCTAATAATGTCACCCATAGCATCAGAAGTGGAGAACCAACACTTGGCTTAACTGTTTTCACCTTTCCCACTTAACCCCTAAGACTTTCTCCTGCTTACTGATTTGAGTTTTTCGAGCCTTACATTTTATCCCGTGCAATGCATGTAAGAGGTTTGGCTAGTGCTATTTTTTTAATTTCAGCGTGGTATTCCATTTCGCCTAGTGACCGATCCGTGACGAAATTTATTTATGTATACTAAATTGTACGTGGTTAAGATCACAAATTCATAGTGTTTGGGTTTTTATGTAAGTCACATCTTGGACATCACTTGCAGATGTCCATGAACTTCCAAGAAATCATAGTGCAGATGTATTTGTCTCCATTGGGTGTCTGTGATTTTGTGTTTCTTCCATGTTGTTCCTCTTGTCATCATCTTTGGGGCTTACTTTTAATACCTTTTGCCTTTCTACAATTGCAAATTGGGTCTCTCTTCCCTCTTGGAATGCTTTAACCATTATTGTTGTAATTTGCTTAGAACTTCTAATCAAAAACCATGTTGCTGTATCTTTTACTTTATTCATTTCTAGTGAGGGAAAAAAAACCACTTTCCTCAAAGTTTGAACTTTGGATCAGAAAATTAGTTGAATAATTTCAACTATGCCCACAAAACGGAGAAAATAAAATTGTGTGTGTTTAGAAATATGAATTTATTACTGTATTTATTCAGTCAAAATAAAGTTTTTTCTTAATGAGGATTGGGTACAAAAGCATATGTGCTACTCAGTCCTATTATATCTAGCTAGCTAAATTCACTTCCATTGATAATATCTTTGGTTCTCTCTAAGATAAGTCACATCTTGGGCATCAGTTATAGATAATGATGTCCAAGATGGCAGACTAGATAAAAGGACTGTTTGCTTCTAGATTCTCTATCGTTGCGGTCTCATTTAATCTAACCTACTTTTGGGGGTGATGATTGATTTCAGACAGGTCTCTGCATCTGTTACGTTTTCATTCTGCGAAAATCACCTAATTTGCTTGGTATTTGTAGTCTTTATCTTATTTATTAACGAATTTGTAAATTAAACATCCAGATTGAAGAAAAGAAGCAAGCTGCTGCTGATGTTTTGTTTCAATACTCGAACTTTGTATTGACATGTATAGGAAAACAAGTTCGGCCCTGTGACTTGAGGTTGCATTTAATGAAGGTAATGCAATATTCTTACTCAGTTTTCTTCTTAACAATTTTAGTAATCAGACTCTCTCGTTCACTCTCAGCTCTGTTCATTATGTTTAAAATGTTAATATTTCCTTGTTTGAGGGTGCTGGGTGATAGCAATGACCCAATGAGGCTTTTAGTAAGTGTAATATTAATGATGTTGGGTGGCCTTGTTTTTTTTGTTTTTTTTGTTTTTGTATAATGTTTCCACGGGACAATCAGTTGAACCACGTTTCTATTACTGTAATAGATCTCAGCATTTAAAACACAATTTCTGTAACAAAAATACCCTACACCTAAGTCCCACATCTGTGCAGTTTAAAAATTAAAGAACCAAAAAAAAGGGGAAAGACCTGCACAAAATCACTAAAACCTGGAGTTTATTTGCTTGTTGAGTTGTTGTAGTCTTTGTGGATGGATCGGTTAGGGAGATGATCTGTCATTGTTATTGTTGGTGATTTTCTGTTGTTATGTTGCCAACTTTGCTTTTTCATTTTGTTTGGGGGTTAAGGATTTGCTTGGGATTGGCTTTGGATGCATGCCAACCTAGATGAGTCAATACAACTCTCTTTTTTTAATAGGTGAATTTCAATCATGCTTGCCGATTCTTGTTTTGGAACATTCTTCAGGAGATTTCTGGGATGCCAACTTCTCTGAAGAGGGAGCTGCCCCCAATGGCTGCTGCTCGTTTTACAAGCTCTCTGCCAGATGACTTGTTAAAGTAGACCAGTTTCTGAGCACTATACTCGGAAGCACCATTTCAGCAACTCTGTCCTGCTGGTTGATCTGCACATACTTTTCTTCACATCTACTTTTTGAAGATGTACCTCAGTTTTAATTTCATCTTTTACATGAACTATGTAATGTTTAGCATGCATGACAAACTAGGAAAGGTGGGGAAGTGAATAGATAGGAATTCCTCTTCCTGTTCCTATTACAAAAGTAGATGGTTATTCTTGAAATGTCATTTATTTTTTTT